CCCAGGTTCGAATCCTGGCTGGGGTAATATTTTTCGCAATAAGTATTTTAAATAAGGGGGGAAGGGGGGAAGAGGGTTATCATATTAGATGCTAATGTATAGCATTATTAAAATAATTTATAAACGTGAATTCACTGACGATAACACTTCCACTTACGGAGATTAACCTGTGTTATAAGACTAGTATGTAACTGGCGCACAAAATAAGTTGGAAAGAATACGGTATATGAATTCACTTACTAATTTAATTTAACTGGCTACTTACACCTATACCCGGTCCTAAACGGCCTCTTTAATTTCTAATTGATTTTAAAAATAAGTAGTTAAAATTTAATACTGTTTAAAATTTTTTCTTACCTCCGCAAATGTATTCTTCTCAGAATAGAGTTTTCTGTCAAACTAACAGAATATATAACACGCTATGGACGATTATTGATCGAACGTGCAAGCGTACCTTTCAGAGAAAATACATCGATGTGAACTGTCAAAACTCCATTAGAAGTTGACGCAGGCGCTTTCATTCAAATACAATCCTTACAAGCGGACTGCCACCGCAACAGTACGTCGGGTGCGTTCATCAAGTAACCATGGCTAAGTCGGAACCAATGTCTAGAAGTACTAGCTATAGAAGTAACAATGATTATAGTCTTCAACTGAGTCGATGGTTTATCAAACCGATTGGTGTTTGGCCACAAATGAACGGCTCAAGCACAGCGTGCAAGATATTCACGTTATTACACATTTCTCTTTGTCTCATCGTGGTGGCAATGATAATGATACCATGCACATTATTCGTATTATTCGAGAAAACTAACATCAAACTGAAGCTGAGCGCTATTGGTCCGTTGCTTCACAGAGTAATGGGTTCGGTAAATCTGTGGATGCTTTTAACGCGCCGTGATGACATTTGTAAATTAATACGACACATGGAGACAGATTGGAAAATTATAAATAGAATCGAAGATCGCGAAGTAATGTTGCAATACGCCAAGTTCGGTCGTTTCGTTGCCGGGATCTGTGGGGTGATTATGCATGGCGGTGCATTTCTGTTTAGCATAGCCAGGGCGATAAAAACTATAAGTTTTACCGTCGGCAACGAGACCTTTAGGATGCATCCGATGACGTGTCCAATTTACAGCAATATCATCGACGCGAGATTTAGCCCTGTGAACGAAATCGCGTTGGCTCTACAGTTCCTGTCAACATTTATAGTGAGTTCGTCTACCGTCGGTGCTTGTAGTCTAGCTGCCGTCTTCGCAATGCATGCCTGTGGTCAATTGAACGTGCTATACATATGGCTACAAGAACTCGTAGAAAACCAGAAGGGAAATCATACAGCCGAACGAAAACTAGCTATTGTCGTGGAGCATCATCTTAGAGTACTGAGGTACGTATAAATAAACAATACACTTATTACAATACTTTCGACATCGTACATTTTATGTAAAACGGTATTATCTAAAGATATATAGACATTCTTGGTAGAATAAATATTAATTTCTTGAATAACTGAAAAAGGTCTACTGCCACTGATAGGTAAACGTAAACATTTATATTCTAACTGTATATAGGGATCCTTTCTCGAAAGAAAACTGTGTATTTATTAACGATTATGAGAATTATATATACATTTCAGTTTTTTAACACGCGTAGAAAGTATTATGAATAAGGTCTCTCTTGTGGAACTGATGGGGTGTACGATAAATATGTGCTTGCTTGGATATTACTTAATTATGGTATGCTAAAGACATAAGAAAATAACATCTTATTAAATGCAACAGGGTCGTTTATGAATATTTAAATGTCATAATCAAGAAAATGAAGTTTGAAAATAGATTAATCATGTTTTTATACGCATAAAGATACACATAAATATAACTTTTTAGGCCTGGGACGATTTTGATGCAACAAAAATAACATCTTATGTTAATGTATATTTATCCATGGCTTTCAATATTTTTATATTTTGCTATATTGGAGAGATTATCACAGAACAGGTAATCTATCGAGAATAGAATAATATTCTTTGTTTAATAGCTCAATGGATCTTAATTTCATACTTTTATATTATTTTATATACAAAAATACTGAAGTATAACTTAAGTTTTTCGCAAAACTCGGTATTTGCGTATATATTTCACAACCGTTAATATTTCTTTTAAATAAATCATCATATTTTAAGAAATTATAAGTATTTTAATTTTATATCGATTTGCTATAGTGCAAACGTGTCGGTGAAATGGCATATATGACCGATTGGTATAAATTACATCACAAAACTGCACTTGGTCTCGTTTTAATAATTGCACGCTCAGGTAACGCGATGAAAATCACTGCAGGAAAATTATTTCAATTATCTATCGCAACTTTCGGCGATGTAAGTAATACCGTATTGTCCCTACATTATAAACGTTTTCAAAAAATGTACTAAAAGAAAAATTAATCAGTATATTTTTATTGTAGTTTGTGAATTTAAAATATCTTATATAGAAATCTCTTAGAGAAATTGGAATAACTTTCATGTTACCGATTGTCTTAAAACAATAATAATCATTTATTCAATTAAAAGAAAAAGATCTAATTTTATACTTCTAGATATGTTTACCGTTCTCAGAACGTAAAATTGTTTGTATAATATGTAGAAACCAACGTTTTGTTGTTTCAGGTAATTAAAACTTCCGTCGTATATTTAAATCTCTTAAGAACATTAACTATGTGAAACATAAGATCACAAATGTAAAAAATATATTTTGTATAAATTAAGATATAGGACAAATATGCCCACTAAACTACAAGATATAAATAATCTTAACTATTCTTTAGACTAAGTCAATATAAGTTGAAGATTATTAAGCAATGTGCACACTTAGAGCGTCCGCAGTAAACTAAATACTTACAAGCAAAATTCAAGTTTACTACTGTAAACGTTTCGCGACTTGTCTTACGTGTTTATAATGTGATGCCTTATTCAGTTTAGTGTGCAGATACGTAACATTATACAAAATAGTTGGTTAAAGTCACAAGTTACATTTCTAACAATTGAAGGGGTGGCAAATATTTTTGGCCAAGGCTGTATACATGTACATACATATATCATCGACGAAACAAAACCTGTCAGGTTACAGCACGTTTAATATCACTTCCACAAATCTATGCTCACACTCGTCATGACACGCGATGCTTTCTTCGACATCTGACAATAGAAACTCTCGACGAACAATTATATCGATTGAACAGATACCCCTCTCAAAGTAATTTTCAAGCCGTACACCAAACCCTTCCGAAAGTCGGCGCAGGCGCTTCTTCATATTCAACTCCAGCACGACGAATTGCCTAATCCGCGGCAGTGCTCTGTGCGATTTCGTGAAGCTATCATGTCAAATTGCAAACGTGCGCCAAAGGGCGACTACTCGAAACAGCATAACAATTATAGTTTGCAACTGAATCGATGGTATCTCACGCCGATCGGAGCGTGGCCGCAAATGAACGACTCGAACAAAACGTTCAAGATACTCGTGCCATTATACATTTTTGTTTGTCATTTCACGGTAACATTGATGACGATACCATGCATACTATTCGTGTGTTTCGAAAAAACCAATATCAAAATGAAACTGGGCGCGCTTGGTCCACTGCTTAACAGACTTATGGGTTGGATACATTATTGGATGCTTCTGAAACACAGTGGGGACATTCGTAAATTAGTACAACACATGGAAGTAGATTGGAAAATCGTAAATAGAATCCAAGATCGTGAAGTAATGTTGCAATACGCCAAGTTCGGTCGTTTCGTTGCCGGGATCTGCGGTATGATTTTGTATTGCGGTACATTTCTGTTTAGCATAGCCAGGAACATAAGAACTGTACCTACCATTGTCGGCAACGAGACCTTTAGGACATATCCGATGACGTGTCCAATTTATAGCAAGATCATCGACGCGAGATTTAGCCCAGTGAACGAAATCGCGTTGGTTCTGCAGTTCGCGATCATATTTATAGTGAATTGCTCTACCGTCGGTGCCTGTAGTCTGGCTGCCGTCTTCGCAATGCACGCCCGTGGCCAATTGAATGTGCTATATACATGGCTACATGAACTCGCAGAAAATCAAGAAGAAAATCATATAGCTGATCGAAAAATGGCCGTTATTGTGGAACACCATATCAGAGTACTGAGGTACGTAAATAGACAGTAATATACTAGAATACTTTAGGCTTTGTATACAACAATATTATCTAAAAATATATAGACATTTGTGTTGGAATAAACATTAATTTTTTAATTACTGAAAAAGATGTGCCGTTACCAATGCATAAATGTAAATATTCATATTCCACTTGTATATAGATATTCTCTCTTGAACAGAAACTTTACATCTAATGGTTATTATAAGTATTATTATACACATTTCAGTTTCATAGAACGCGTGGAAAATGTCATGAATAAGATATCTTTTGTCGAATTGACGGGAAGTACGATAATTATGTGCTTGGTTGGATATTACTCAGTCATGGTACGCTAAAAACATAAAAAAATTTACTTCTTACTAAATGCACGAAAAATTTATTTATTTATGAATATTCAAATATCACTGTATTATCAAGAAAAGAGTGTTCAGATTAAACATGTTTTTATATAAAGTTAAAAATAAACGTAATGACATTTTAGGAGTGGCAAAATTTCGATGCAATGAAAATAACGTCTTATATTAATGTATACTTGTCGATGGCTTTCAATATTTTTATATTTTGCTATATCGGAGAGATTATCACCGAAGAGGTATCTATAAAACAGACAATATTCTTTGTTTAATAGTTCAATGAATTTTAATATCTTCAAATATGATTTTTCGTTATTATAGTAACCTACTAAAGTATAATTGTTTACTTTCTCGCAAAACTCGACATTTGCGTATACATTTCGTATGCGTTAATATTTTTCTTAAATCTAATTTTCAATAGTTATAGAAACACTGTAATTTTATATTATGATTTGTGTACTAGTGTAAATACGTCGGGGAAATGGCGTATATGATCAATTGGTATAATTTAAATCACAAAACTGCAATTGGTCTCGTTTTAATAATTGCACGATCAAGTAACGTGATTAAAATTACCGCAGGAAAATTATTACATTTATCTATCGCAACGTTTGGTGATGTAAGTAAGGCAGATATAGCGTTATATTTTGTTACTAAAAGTTTTGATATTTTTTCTATACTTTTTAATTGCAAATTATGATCGTCTTATAGGAGAATTGAATTGTTCAATTACATTATCCATTATATTTAAAACATTCTTACATACAATTATATGCGTGTGTGTGATTTAAGATTCCAAATTTTAATATATCAAATTGGCATCTATAACTCTTAGAATATAGCATACATTATATATTTTAACATATGTTTGCATTGTGTAGGAACAAATATGGTTGTTGTTTCAGGTAATTAAAACTTCCATGGCATATTTAAATCTCTTGCGACAATTGACTGTGTGAAACACAACAATTTCAGAAACGTGAAAAATATATTTTGTACAGAATAAGATATAGGCTATATATATATATATATACATATATACAGGGTGTTACTAAATTCATGTTGAAACGCTTGAGGGGTAAAAGTACAAATCAAAACTAACATTTTTTACCAATACACATGGGGGCGGAAACGAACCCCTAACCCGTTGGAACGCGCGATGAGTTCAGGGTAGGCAACCCGTTGATTCCTAAAAGCCGTGGTTTACGGCCAGTGCAAACCGTTGAAGAGCTCACCGAAAGAATTATCCAAGCGTTTGATGAGATACGAGCTTCCCCAGGCAAGTTGCAAAGGATAAAAGAAAACATGATTCGCCGTTGCCACTTGTGCGTCGATCATGGTGGTTGTCATTTCGAGCCCTTGCTCTAAAATGTGTTATCGGTTTACAGAACTGTTAATAAACCGTTGTTTAATTGAACTGTTGTTGTTTTAAACAAAATCCCAACATTTGTTCTTAAACGTAGCGGCCAGCATAGTAAAAGATGTGCACAACGGGTCGCCTACTCTGAACTTTTCGCGCGTTCCAGCGGGTTAGGGGTTCGTTTCCGCCCCCATGTGTATTGGTAAAGAATGTTTGTTTTGATTTGTCCTTTCACCCCTCAAGCGTTGTAACATGAATTTAGTAACACCCTGTGTATATAATGTGTGTGTATATAAATCTTTGATCAATTTTGAATAAATTATTCTTGTGATTGCATACAATTTTAGCGTCCATCTTGTGGTGGCGCGCCGAACTATGTAATGTTTGAGAAAAATTGGAAACAAAATGCAATTTAACTTAAAAACAATAAAAAATAGAAAAACTAGACATAATTATTAAGGTAATTGATGCATTTATTTGTATAATTTCTATTTGTACAAATTTAATATTGAATTGTTATACATTAAGTAATTCTACAGTAAGTTGTACAGTAAGTTATACAAATAATCTAAAATTATTTCAATGATACAAGTTTATTGGGAATAATTTGATTGTTATGCAAAGACTCAGTGATTTCATGTTTAAACGGTTTGTATATTAACAAACGATAGATTTAATTTAGGATGCATCCGATGACGTGTCCAATTTACAGCAATATCATCGACGCGAGATTTAGCCCTGTGAACGAAATCGCGTTGACTCTACAGTTCCTGTCAACATTTATAGTGAGTTCGTCTATCGTCGGTGCTTGTAGTCTAGCTGCCGCCTTCGCAATGCACGCCTGTGGTCAATTGAACGTGCTATACATATGGCTACAAGAACTCGTAGAAAACCAGAAGGGAAATCATACAGCCGAACGAAAACTAGCTATTGTCGTGGAGCATCATCTTAGAGTACTGAGGTACGTATAATTAAATTACGTACGTATAATTAAAGTACGTAAATTAACAATACACTTATTACAATACTTTCGACATCGTATATTTTATGTAAAACGGTATTATATAAAGATATATAGACGTTTTTGTTAGAATATAAATATTAATTTCTTGAATAACTGAAAAAGGTCTACTGCCACTGATAAGTAAACGTAAACATTTATATTCCAACTGTATATAGGGATCCTTTCTCGAAAGAAAACTGTGTATTTATTAACGATTGTGAGAATTATATATACAATTCAGTTTTTTAACACGCGTAGAAAGTATTATGAATAAGGTCCTCTTGTGGAACTGATGGGGTGTACGATAAATATGTGCTTGTTTGGATATTACTTAATTATGGTATGCTAAAGACATAAGAAAATAACATCTCATTAAATGCAACAGGGTCGTTTATGAATATTTAAATGTCATAATCAAGAAAATGAAGTTTGAAAATAGATTAATCATGTTTTCACATAAAGATACACATAAATATTATAACTTTTTAGGCCTGGGACAATTTTGATGCAACAAAAATAACATCTTATGTTAATGTATATTTATCCATGGCTTTCAATATTGTTATATTTTGCTATATTGGAGAGATTATCACAGAACAGGTAATCTATCGAGAATGGAATAATATTCTTTGTTTAATAGCTCAATGGATCTTAATTTCATACTTTTATATTATTTTATATATAAAAATACTGAAGTATAACAGTTAAGTTTTTCGCAAAACTCGGTATTTGCGTATATCTTTCACAACCATTTAATTGTTTTTTATAAACCACCATATTTTAAGTAATTATAAGTATTTTAATTTTATAACGATTTGCTATAGTGCAAACTTGTCGATGAATTGGCATGTATGACCGATTGGTATAAATTACATCACAAAACTGCACTTGGTCTCGTTTTAATAATTGCACGCTCAGGTAACGCGATAAAAATCACTGCAGGAAAATTATTTCAATTATCTATCGCAACTTTCGGCGATGTAATACAGCGTTGCCCTTGCATTTATAAACGTTTTCAAAAAATGTACTAAAAGAAAAATTAATCAGTGTATTTTTATTGTAGTTTGTGAATTTAAAATATCTTATATAGAAATCTCTTAGAGAAATTGGAATAACTTTCATGTTACCGATTGTCTTAAAACAATAATAATCATTTGTTCAATTAAAAGAGAAAAATCCAATTTTATACTTCTAGATATGTTTACCGTTCTCAGAACGTAAAATTGTTTGTATAATATGTAGAAACCAACGTTTTGTTGTTTCAGGTAATTAAAACTTCCGTCGTATATTTAAATCTCTTAAGAACATTAACTATGTGAAACATAAGATCACAAATGTAAAAAATATATTTTGTATAAATTACGATATAGGATAAATATGCCCACTAAATTACAAGATATAAATAATCTTAATTATTCTTTAGACTAAGTCAATATAAGTTGGAGATTATTAAGCAATGTGCACACTTCGAGCGACCACAGTAAACTAAATACTTACAAGCAAACTTCAAGTTTACTACTGTAAACGTTTCGCGACTTGTCCTTGCGTGTTTATAATGTGATGCCTTATTCAGTTTAGTGTGCACATACGTAACATTATACAAAATAAACAATATATGAGAACATACTTGAAAGTTTATTATTATACAAAATAGTTGGTTAAAGTCACAAGTTACATTTCTAACAATTGAAGGGGTGGCAAATACTTTTGGCCAAGGCTGTATACATGTACATACACATATCATCGACGAAACAAAACCTGTCAGGTTACAGCACGTTTAATATCACTTCCACGAATCTATGCTCACACTCGTCATGACACGCGATGCTTTCTTAGACATCTGACAATAGAAACTCTCGACGAACAATTATATCGATTGAACATACGCCCCTCTCAAAGTAATTTTAAGGCCGTTCACCAAACCCTTCCGAAGGTCGGCGCAGGCGCTTCTTCATTGTCAACTCTAGCACGATGAATTGTCTATCCATGGCAGTGCACCGTGCGCTTTTGTGCAACGATCATGTCAAATTGCAAACGTGCGCCAAAGAGCGACTACTCAAAACAGCATAACAATTATAGTTTGCAACTGAATCGATGGTATCTCACGCCGATCGGAGCGTGGCCGCAAATGAACGACTCGAACAAAACGTTCAAGATACTCGTGCCATTATACATTTTTGTTTGTCAATTCACGGTAGCATTGATGACGATACCATGCATACTATTCGTGTGTTTCGAAAAAACCAATATCAAAGTGAAACTGGGCGCGCTTGGTCCACTGCTTCACAGACTTACGGGTTGGATAAATTATTGGATGCTTCTGAAACACAGTGGGGACATTCGTAAATTAGTACAACACATGGAAGTAGATTGGAAAATCGTAAATAGAATCCAAGATCGTGAAGTAATGTTGCAATACGCCAAGTTCGGTCGTTTCGTTGCCGGGATCTGCGGTATGATTTTGTATTGCGGTACATTTCTGTTTAGCATAGCCAGGAACATAAGAACTGTACCTACCATTGTCGGCAACGAGACCTTTAGGACATATCCGATGACGTGTCCAATTTATAGCAAGATCATCGACGCGAGATTTAGCCCAGTGAACGAAATCGCGTTGGCTCTGCAGTTCACGAACACATTTATAGTGAATTGCTCTACTGTCGGTGCCTGTAGTCTGGCTGCCGTCTTCGCAATGCACGCCCGTGGCCAATTGAATGTGCTATATACATGGCTACATGAACTCGCAGAAAATCAAGACGAAAATCAAGAAGAAAATCATATAGCTGATCGAAAAATGGCCGTTATTGTGGAACACCATATCAGAGTACTGAGGTACGTAAGTAGACAGTAATATACTAGAATACTTTAGGCTTTGTATAAAACAATATTATCTAAAAATATATAGACATTTTTGTTGGAATAAACATTAATTTTTTAATTACTGAAAAAGATGTGCCGTTACCAATGCATAAATGTAAATATTCATATTCCACTTGTATATAGATATTCTCTCTTGAACAGAAACTTTACATCTAATGGTTATTATAAGTATTATTATACACATTTCAGTTTCATAGAACGTGTAGAAAATATCATGAATAAGATATCTCTTGTCGAATTGACGGGATGTACGATAATTATGTGCTTGGTTGGATATTACTCAGTCATGGTATGCTAAAAACATAAAAAAAATTTACTTCTTACTAAATGCACCAAAAATTTATTTATTTATGAATATTCAAATATCACTGTATTATCAAGAAAAGAGTGTTCAGATTAAACATGTTTTTATATAAAGTTAAAAATAAACGTAATGACATTTTAGGAGTGGCAAAATTTCGATGCAATGAAAATAACGTCTTATATTAATGTATACTTGTCGATGGCTTTCAATATTTTTATATTTTGCTATATCGGAGAGATTATCACCGAAGAGGTATCTATAAAACAGACAATATTCTTTGTTTAATAGTTCAATGAATTTTAATATCATCAAATATGATTTTACGTTATTATAGTAACCTACTAAAGTATAATTGTTTACTTTCTCGCAAAACTCGACATTTGCGTATACATTTCGCATGCGTTAATATTTTTCTTAAATCTAATTTTCAATAGTTATAGAAACACTGTAATTTTATATTGTGATTTGTGTACTAGTGTAAATACGTCGGGGAAATGGCGTATATGATCAATTGGTATAATTTAAATCACAAAACTGCAATTGGTCTCGTTTTAATAATTGCACGATCAAGTAACGTGATTAAAATTACCGCAGGAAAGTTATTCCATTTATCTATCGCAACGTTTGGTGATGTAAGTAAGGCAGATATAGCGTTATATTTTGTTACTAAAAGTTTTGATATTTTTTCTATACTTTTTAATTGCAAATTATGATCGTCTTACAGGAGAATTGAATTGTTCAATTACATTATCCGTTATATTTAAGACATTCTTACATACAATTATATGCGTGTGTGTGATTTAAGATTTCTAATTTTAATATATCAAATTGGCATCTATAACTCTTAGAATATAGCATACATATATTTTAAGATATGTTTGCGTTGTGTAGGAACAAATATGTTGTTGTTTCAGGTAATTAAAACTTCCATGGTATATTTAAATCTCTTGCGACAATTGACTATGTGAAACACAACAATTTCAGAAACGTGAAAAATATATTTTGTACAGAATAAGATATAGGATATATATGTCCTCTAAATTAAGATAAATAAGATTACTCTTTATATTAAAATGACAGAATTAACCATTACATTATTTTCAAAAGTTTATCCAATATACAATAAATTTCGAGTTTTTACCATGTATGTACTTACAACTTCTGTATTGTGCAACATTCCAATTTTTTTATCACCATTTAAAACTTATTTACGCTATTAATCAATATAAGCGGCACGTCGAATATATCTATTATGGATGAAAGAAAGTCTATCAAGTTACAGCGCGTTTAATATCACTTCCACAAATCTATGCTCACACTCGTCATGACACGCGATGCTTTCTTAGACATCTGACAATAGAAACTCTCGACGAACAATTATATCGATTGGACAGATACCCCTCTCAAAGTAATTTTCAAGCCGTACACCAAACCCTTCCGAAAGTCGGCGCAGGCGCTTCTTCATATTCAACTCCAGCACGATGAATTGCCTACTCCGCGGCAGTGCTCTGTGCGATTTCGTGAAGCTATCATGTCGAATTCCAAACGTGCGCCAAAAAGCGACGAATCAAAACAACATAATGATTACAGTTTACAAATAAACCGATGGTTTCTCAAGCTAATCGGTGCGTGGCCACAAATAAATGCGTCGAGCACAGTATGGAAAATCCTTGTGTTACTACAAATTTTTATCTGTGCGAGCACGATAGCATCCATAACGTTACCGTGTTTGTTATATATATTATTTGAAGAAATTAATATCAAGGCAAAACTGAAAGTCGTTGGGGCACTGATTACCAGGTCCATGGGCGTGGTAAATTACTGGGTGCTGCTCACGCGCAGCAGTGATATTCACAAATTAATACGACACATGGAGGCAGATTGGAATCTCATACAAAGATTTGACGATCGCGAGATAATGCTGCGACACGCCAGATACGGTCGTTTCATCACCTTCATATGTGGAACGATAATGCAAGGCGGTACATTCCTGTACAGTTTAGCGTTGATAACGAAAACTGTACCGATCGTCATCGACAATCAGACTTACTCGACGCATGTATTTGCCTGTCCAATTTATAGCAAAATCATCGACACGAGATTGAGCCCTGTGAACGAAATCGCACTGGCCCTGCAGTTCGTGTCATCGTTCCTATTGAGTTGCTCTACCGTCGGTGCTTGCAGTCTGGCCGCCGTTTTCGCGGTACATGCTTGTGGTCAACTGAACATTCTGTGCGCGTGGCTACATGAACTAGTTGAAAACCAGGAGGAGGGAAATCGCATAGTTGAACGACGACTGGCCGTTATCGTGAAACATCATCTAAGAATATTGAGGTATTTCACACCCAGGCATACATTAAAAAACACATAATTTAGAATTCCACAAACTTTATGAACAAATGTTCTAAACGTACTTGGAATAATTTGAATCGATCAATAATCAATTATTTAAAGATAAATATTTTCGTTAGAATGTAAAAAAAATTATTTCCTTTTTCTAAATTATTAAAAGAGGATCTATCGTCATTATTTTCACGAAGAGCATCGGTGCAATGTGCGAAACTCGTTTTTAAAAAGAATTCTACCGTTACATCAACATCTATACGTTGCAGTTTTATATCACGTATGGAAAGTGTTATGAATAAAGTTTCTCTTGTGGAATTATTGGGATGCACGATAATTCTATGCTTTCTTGGACATTACACCATTATGGTATGACACGGACGTAAAAATATTTTATTAGAAACTCATTAGAATCTCATGGAAAACTTTTCTTAGTCGCACCTAATTTATTTATGGAAAGCCACACGTAGGTTTAATCTATTACAAAACGCCTATTTAAAATAAGAGATAAAACGACAAAGATGAGTCTATATTGTAATTTTTAGGATTGGTCAACGTTTGATGTTGGAAAACTAACAAGTTATTTTATTATGTATTTATCAATGAATTTCAATATTTTCATATTTTGCTACATTGGAGAGATTGTTACAGAACAGGTAATACGTCGAGAATTAAAATATACTGAGACCAGAAAATGCTAGATTTCGATATTCTTTTAATAATTCAGTCGAGACCATTAAAAAAGAGTGAAATATGATATTGTTATATTAATAGAGAACAATTTTTCAAATATATGCATTTTATTTTTAATAAAATTAAGCATTTTCGTTTCGTTTAACATCTTTTTAATCCAAGTTAGCAAGTTATTATGCACACAGAAACCTTATGCTAATTTGTTTAAATGTTACGTTAATTTGTTAGTGCAAATATGTTGGGGAGGTGGCATACATGACCAAATGGTATAATATACATCACAAAACTGCACTTGGTCTCGTCTTGGTAATCGCTCAATCGAGTAATGTGATTAAAATCACCGCAGGAAAGTTATTCCATTTATCTATCGCAACTTTTGGTGATGTAAGTAATGCAAATATATTGTTTCCTTGCTTTGTTACTAAAAATTTAATAAATTACACTATTTTTATACATCATTAATTGCAAATTATGATCATCTTATAAAAATTGTTCAATTGAATTATCCAATATATTCAAAATATCTATAATATACATATATTTATACGCGTGTGATTCCAAATTTTACCTATAATTAATGAAACATAATATATATTATTTTTGTATTGTGTAGGAACAAGCATATTATTGTTCCAGGTAATTAAAACTTCCATGGCATATTTAAATCTTTTGCGAACAATGACTATGTGAAACATATTATGTGTGACATAAGAATATATACAAGAGATACATATTTTATATAGAATAGAATTAACATATCCTGAAGATGAGATTCAACAAACGAAATCAATAAATATGTTAAATTTCGAAATAATTAATCATGAAATTATTTCTCTCCAAAAATGTACGTTACATAATTTTTTGTAATTTTTCTGATACTTTTTATAATCTAAAATAAGTTATTATAATTTCTCTATTTTAATACTGTGATTTTCATATTCATCGAAATTACATATTCACACTTTTTAATAGCAGTACCTAAGAAACGTACGGTCTTCATATAATCAAACACAAAATATAATTATAGCTGATTAAATCACATTCGATATTATTTCTACGAATTCATTTGTACAGCCCTCGTGACACGTGATATTCTGTCATAACTGATACTATAAACTCGCGACAATACAATTGTTGATTAGACACGCAACCCTTTCAAAGCAATTGCAATATCAGGTTGCTCGCCAAACTTTTTAGGAAAGTTAGCGCAGGTGCTGTTTCACATTCAACTTCGGTATAATGTAGTGACCATTCGTGACAATGTGTTGCATGCCTTCGTAAAGTAATCGTGCTAAACTACAAGTGTGTGGCAGGAAGCATTGAATTGAGAAAACATGACAATTGTAATCGGCAATCAATGATTTCTCATTTCTATTTAAATATGTTACATACGAATTAAATTGACTCTTATCGTAAATTATTAAAACGAAGTAAAATATTGTAATCTACAAAAGAAGAAAATATATTTATGAAATTAATGTCATTTGATGAAATATTTTACGAAGAGAACTCTTTATCACGTCTAAAAACGTTATACATAACTATATATTTCAGTATTATAAACTACACAAAAAGTATACGTGTAAAGCTTGCTTTGCTAAATATACGTATATTCAACTTATTCTTTATAATAAATTAAAATATTATAAATAACATATATACATATTATTAGCAGTACGTAATTTTCCGAAGATAGACAAATATTTTTAGTATTATAAAATTAAAATTGAAAAAGTTAATTAATTTTTTTAAAGAAATTTATCAATAAATTTGTATTTTTCAGAATCGGAGTGCAATTTGATAAATAATGTTAGTGATTTCATGACTTTATACATACATATAAATCCACAACTTAATTTAATATCCATTTCAAAATACAATTTTCTAAACGATCATATCTTTTCAAGCACACTGCACTATAACACAGACGACTATCTAGTTTTGGAACAAGTTTCATTTGTGTATCGATTAAAGAAAAGTTTCACCCTTTTTCTCTCGAAATCGATATAAACGCTGGGCATCATGTCGTTCAACTCCCTTTATTCTGAACGGATAAGACAGATAAACAGAGTAGTTAGAGAACAAAATAGAGCTACCACAAACGTGGATAAGTTCTCATTATTATACTCGTACATCCGTCTAAATCAAAATACAGAATCAAATGAATTACCTCACTACACCAGAGCGTTACCTCGTATACAGTAACGAAAAAGATAGTCGAGTTACGTAACGATGCGACCTAGCAATCTGTCTATCCTGCAATGAATTTACTACCACTTCAATTTGCTATCACTGCAAATATCGATTACCTGAGAGATGTGTGTATTAAATGAAAGTACAGTCGCGATATACCGCGCACGCGTTACTCTGCAATTACCCCGCGTGCGTTTCGAGTAAGTCATCTGCGCGAGTCAATCGTGTTTCTGCACTTGGGAAGCGAACATGACGAAGCTTCCACAGAACCCGATCATATTTAACTACATAGAGAATAAGGAGTACAGCATACAGCCGATTCGTTGGCTGCTGAAGCCAATAAGTGTCTGGCCGGTGAGAGACTCGTCGATCGCGGAGAAGATCTTGTCAGTAGTGTTGCTGATAGCATGCATTTTATTAATCACCGGCACTCTGGTGCCTTGCGCGCTGGCCATACTCCTAGACGAGACCAGGGATGTGGAGATGAAGATTCGTGACTTTGGACCGCTCAGCAACTGGGTGCTGGCGAGTCTCAAGTATATCTCGTTACTGGCGCACGTCGGCGACATACATCGTTGTATCAAGCACATCGAGACGGATTGGCGGGCAGTGACGAAATTCGAGGAGCAGGAAGTAATGCTGAGGAGTGCCAGGATCGGTCGTTTCATCGCGATATTCTCCGCGACATTCATGCACAGCGGCGTGTTCTCGTACGGTATTTTACGAGGAATGACATTAAGCGAATCCGCCGTCGAAGGCGATAACGTGACGGTGCGTCCGCTGCCTTTCCCGTTCTACGATCAGATTCTGGATACCACGAAGAGTCCGATGTACGAGATAGTGTTCGCAATACAGTGTCTATCTACGTTCGTTGTGAATTCCGTAGCAGTAGGCACATGCAGCCTCACCGCCGTCTTCGTGATGCATGCGTGCGGTCAGTTAAAAATCCTGATATCCTTGCTGGATAATCTGATCGACGAAAGAAACGAAAAGATAGACTCTTCTCAGCCCAAGTTTGGCATCATCGTCGAACAACATTTAAAAATACTCAGGTAAAAATCAAAGGGACACTTTAACGATGGATTTTCTGTGTATAATGACGATAACGGATATTTTCATTCCTGTCTTCGTTTTAATTATATGCTAAATGTTGTGTGAATACACTAATCTATTATTAAATAAATATATTAAAGTGAGAGATATGTTAATAACGTTGATCTATATATGCATAAAAGTGTACGATTATTTTGACATGCTATACACCATATATTCCTAAATATATTTCTAGTTTCGTGTCTCATATAGAGAAAATTACGAATGTAGTTTGTCTCGTGGAAATAGCAGGTTGCTCGCTGCAAATGTGTCTCTTGGGCTATTATTGCATACTGGTATGCGTATAATTATAAGTCTCGTTTGCCGTTCATTGCCTATTGCTCTAACAAATTAGAGATTTTTTTTCAGGATTGGAACCAAGACGCAAAAGAAGGTATAGTGGCATATGTTATAATATTGATCTCGGTTACTTTCAACATCTTTATATTTTGTTACATTGGAGAGATCCTTTCAGAACAGGTAACGGTAACGCCTGTTATAGACATATGAAAAATAATTTTATACCTATCGATAAAAGTTAATCGATAAAAAACTGTACGATCTATTAATAATTTACTTTGCGTATGAGTTTGATCAAAACGCAATATCGCTGCGAGTGTATTGTGTCCGATTTAATCGTAATATAACAGTGCGTCCAAGTTGGTGAAACCGCCTACATGACAAATTGGTATCTGTTACCTGGAAATAACGCACTCGGTCTCCTTCTGATCATTTTAAAGTCCAGCATCGTCGTTAAAATCACTGCTGGAAAGATGATTGAGCTTTCCCTTTCTACCTTCGGTAGTGTAAGTATACAAAAATATACTTTTTGATGCAGACATGTAGATTACAGAGAAATAGTATTATGTAATTATTTTACAATTCGAAGGAATAAAGAATATATAAGTGCCAAGATAGGATGTTAGTGTCTAAATGATTTTAATTTGAAATTTTTCGCAATAAATTTAAAATTAAAATTATTTAGACGCTAACATTCTGTCGTGGCTCTTATATCCTTCATTCCTCCAAATTGTAATTTTACGTCAGAGCCTTATAAATTTTATTGTAATTATTTTATACAGTTTATAAAGATAATTAGATTGTTTTAATAATTAGAATAACCAATCATATTTTTTATAGTAACAATATGTTTAATAACTATTTCAGGTAATTAAATCCGCGTTAGCGTATTTAAATATACTGCGTACCCTTATTACATATTAATAACGTTTTATACATAAATTATAAACAGCGAGCATATAGTATGTAATTGAATAATTGAATAATAACAATACTCTTGTGAGAAGTTTTTGTCTGTCAGGTCTTTAAGTGAAATTTAATTGTATTTTACCTGTTCCTTTAAATTGTTAATCAATGTGATTGATCTCATTAATAAAATTAATTATTTGACCTTACTCGCTGAGATAAATCGCAGATGTAATCTACAATGTAACTGCGCGTTCAAACCTGTAATATTCCGTATATAAAACTTCATACCTAAATATCGATTTCGCTCTGCTTCTACCTGTTGCCGCGACAGCTGCACATTATCACAATAATACACGACACTACATTGCAAGGATCACTTGTCATATCATGTGCCGTTCAATGTCTGCGCACGCGCTGACCGTTACTGCTGTGGCAGCGAAGAGACAGCCTCAGTAAGTTCGCTACCTTCGTCAGAAAATCATGGAGGATGATTCCGCGGATAGTATTAGCGTCTCCACATCCACGCACTTGGTCGACAAACATAACGAGTATAGTATTCAGGTAATACGCTGGATTCTCAAGATGATTAATGTATGGCCGCAACCCGCCGACATGTCAATCATCGAGAAGATCCGTTCCGATTTTGCGATATTCGTGTGCTACTTCCTAATAATCGTCATCATGGTACCAAATGGTATGAGTATGTTGCTGGATTCGGAGCAGTCTTACGAGACCAAGCTGCTGAACTTCGGCCCCGTTACCTTCTGGTTGATAGCGATGGTGAATTATTCTTTCCTCTTGATGCACGTTGGTGATATACAAGATTGTGTAGATCACGTGAAAACGGATTGGCACATGATCAGGAGACTCGAAGATCGGACAGTGATGCTGAAGAGCGCCAAGCTAGGTCGATTCATCGCCGGTTTCTGCGCCGTGTTCATGCAAAGCGGTGTGTTCTCATACAATATCGTAACAAGCCTCTCCAAGAGTGTCTTGCACATGGGAAATAGCAGCATGATGGTTCGCACATTACCCTATCCCGTCTACAAGAAGATTCTAAATACGTACTTGAGTCCGACGTACGAGCTTGTATTTATTCTGCAATGCCTCTCGTCCTTCGTCGTCACCTGCGTTACAGCCGCCACATGCGGCCTGGCAGCGGTTTTCGTCATGCACGCGTGCGGCCAAATGAAAATCATGATATCTTGGCTTAAAGATCTCATGGACGACAGAAGTGAGGAAAAAACTTCTGGGCAAAAGTTTGCAATCATTGTAAATCATCATTTGAGAATCTTGAGGTGAGCTATCATTTTTCACCAATTGCTGTGTATTGATTGCTTGATATTCCCTAATTTGCACCGCCATCCAATTTAATTAAATCGCAATTAACTAATATCGACAAGATAATGTCAGCATATGTAACAATATATTAATACATTAGTCACGTTTTATTTTTAAATTCAAGTATTAACAAATGTTATATGCTCAATCGAATGAAAATTGCTGTAAAATAATTACGACAAACCTTATACTACTGCATTTGCAGCTTTATATCCCGTACAGAGAAAATTATGAATATAATATGTCTTGTGGAATTATTTGGATGTACTATGCATATATGTTTCCTAGGATATTATTGCATTATGGTATGAAAATTCTTTCGAAATATGTATATTAGTCGTAATTCATATATTTTCATTTTACTATTTCTACCACTTGATTATAATACGTATTAGACTTAATGTCTCTTTTAGGACTATATTAATGACAACAAAAAGAGTATCTTGTCGCATTCGATGGTATTATCTTCGATTACTTTTAATATCTTTATATTTTGTTATATCGGGGAGATACTTTCTGAACAGGTAATATTTGAAAGTAAAAGTAACAATAAAAACAATGTACATTCTAAAAAAAATCGATATGCAGCGATAAAATTTATATTCGCGAGATTAAGATTTATTAAGTTGCAATATCGCTGGTGTCTCTTAATCGAATTATAACAGGTATACAAAACGGACTTTAGGGCGAACAGATTGGTAAATCTGCGTATATGACAAACTGGTATCTTTTGCGTGGAAAAACCGCCCAAGGACTCATTCTGATAATTCTAAGATCCAACGCTGGTGTCAAACTAACTGCCGGGAAGATTGTTCAGCTCTCATTTTCTACTTTTGGTGATGTGAGTATGCAAAAGTATATCATTTTATAGTTTACGCATATAAAGCAACATGTAATTTATATTCATATAAAGAATGTTTGTACTGAAATTCTATTACATTTGTAATACACTTCGAGTAATGTAAATGTTTTAAGATATAAATATTTTTTCAAAGAGTAATGGATTTTTTAGTAATTTCTAATTGCTTTAGGTAATTAAATCTGCATTAGCATATTTAAATATTCTGCGGACTGTAATGCTTACGTAAATAATTATGGTATAACAACTTTGGTATGAAAAAGATATTATGCAAAATAGGCAGTTTATAATAAAATATATATACTTAATAAAAACTTTATGTAAAGTTTATGTTATATAATTACCAATTATCCGGGCCATGAATCATAACTTAATAAACTAATTCTTTCTTAATAGTACTCTAACTCATCAAACGTTTACTTAAATAAATGTAGATTTTAATTATGGAATTTTATAATATCAAAAATCTAGTATGAAGATATTATATATGATGTTAGCAATTTTATATATTTTTACTCATTCATATAAAAGTATTAACCATTAGAAATATTAACTTTTTATCAAAATTAATTAATTAATTAAATATTGTTGTTACATTTATACATTTTCTTATACGTTGCATTGTAATCATATAATTAATAACTTTAAGAAATATTTTAAGTAACCTTCCAGAAACTCACACTTGTTCTTACAATATCCTTTTTAACCTCTTGCGACCCAATATGAGATAAAATGTTTTTTTTAAAGATAAACATTTATTATAAATACAACTATAAAAAATATCTTATGTATGTATTATATAATATATCAATCATACAAAAACTTTTTTATTTAAAAGAATAAAAAAATATTAATCGTCGTAAAGCATATTTTAAACTATAACAAATATTCAATTACGTACCTCATAATTTACAAAAAGTTCAAAATAGCAACGAACAATTTAAAGAACACGACAGCTCAGTGATTTCACGACAAAACTACTGGGACGCAAAGGGTTAAAGATGTATCCATTCCCATCTAGATAACCACATACGGAGTGAAGTATACATAGAATATCGTCTACTGGCTATATCAGAAAATATGAAGCAGGAAACATGTCCAGTATATTACGTATTCCCCCTTGATCGTGAACAGCAGTGCGTTCAGAAGCTTTTTTCCCCATTAAATGTACTTCCTTGCCTGCATCCCCTCAAAAGGACTTGCACGCAATAAAGTTCCAGGTACTATAATCCATTGATTCACTAATAATGAAACGGATAGCAGGTAGAAAGGGAAGGAAGGAATCAATTGCGTTCACGCACGAACGTTTATGTGCAGACAAAAGACGCACATGCGCATGCCGAACTGACTGACGATCAGTTCACTGACGCTCAGTCAGTTGCGTGCATCGTCGCGATTTAGTCATTACCATGCTCGATCATTCAAAGTCGAACCCTATCAAACTCCCAACGGGCGGTTGGAACTATAGCATTCAGATGAATCGCTGGTTTCTGAAACCGATCGGCGTGTGGCCGTTGAATCTCTGCGAAACCACGATGGAAAAGATCAGTTGCATGATCCTGGCGGTGATCAGTTGTTTTCTGATATGTTTTCTGCTTATCCCATGCACCCTTTGTACCATCCTGGTAGACTCTGATCTCGACACTAAGATCAGGATGATCGGTCCGGTTAGTTTCTTCCTGATGGCCGCGGTCAAGCAGTACATCCTAATCGCCCGCAGTGAAAACATGAGTGAATGCTTTCGACATATCCGCATGGACTGGAGTCGTGTCGCGATGGGTCATGAGAAAGATCGTCAAGTAATGGTGGACAATGCCAAGTTCGGCCGCTGGCTCTCCTCAGTCAACGCGATCTTCATGTACTCGGCCGGTATATTTTTCACCACAGTGATGCCGATCTTCGCGAGAAAAACGGAGATCATCAACAACGAGACGGTGAGGATGCTCTCCTTCCCCATCTATCGTGGCCTCTTCGACCCGCGGACCACACCGTCCTTCGAAATAGCGCAGTTCACGCAAGCTCTAGCTGGTTACGTCCTTTACACGATCACGATCGGTGTGTGCAGTCTGGCAGCGGTATTCGTCATGCACGCTTGCGGTCAATTCCGGATACTCATGCTGAAGATGGAGGACCTCGCAGATGGAAAGGAGAGAAAGAGCGCGAACAGCACGCACGAGCGAAGGCTTGGTGATATTGTTCAACATCACATGAGAATACTTGGGTAACGTGTGCCTTGATTTCAATATTAATCGTGGCTCGTAATAGCAGCTTGCAGCGAAGATTATATTCACAGAAAAATAAAATCCATTTCAATTAGCGACAATTTTTCTCACCAAATATCGAAATCCCAACGTGGCTTCCTAACGTGATGAACGATATAAAATATAATTTATAAAGACTTTGCGCTAGCAATCCTAATAATTACTTTAGCATGAATATGTTTCAAGAAATTAATATATTATTATATAAATCTATTATAAATTGTATAAAATTATATAGGAGATTTTTCAGCTTCCCTTTTAATTTTAATCGCATGACTTGCAGCTTTATCACTCGCACCGAGGAGCTTTTAAACGAGCTTTGCCTCGTGGATGTAGTCGGGTGTACGCTCAATATATGCTTTCTGGGATTCAATATGATGACGGTACGAAACATATTTGTGAAACGATATGTGAAAAACGCTGCGACGTAATATAATTACGTTTCATGACGTTGTGATGTTAGTCTTCTAGGAATGGGAACATCGTGAAACGATAGGAACAATAACGTTCTCTTCGTTGCTCGTATCCTTCACGTTCAACATATTTATCTTTTGTTACATCGGCGAACTCCTTGCTGAACAGGTACTACATAAACTGTAATTGCAGCACTTGTACGCTTATCGCAAATATCATTTATAATAATATTTGAGTTAAAATATTCTCAACATATAACAATAAAAAAAATTAATTTTATTCTTTCTAAACTTTATAGTTAATTTTTTTCAAGCTAAAAAAGAACTTCGTTATTTTTCTGTTAAACTCGATTTTGCATTAAAAAAGTCCAAAATGTTCATTAAAGCTTCGTAATTTAAATAATTGAGCTGTTAAATGTATGAGCATTGTTTTCTGTAAAGAACATCACCAAAATCTTGTTAACAGTGCATACAAGCCGGCATGAAGTCTTACATGATAGATTGGTATCGTATACCGAATAGAGATGCGCTCGGTTTGACATTAGTAATGTCCATGTCCAATGCCACGATTAAACTCACAGCCGGAAAATTTATGGATTTATCCTTGGCCAGTTTTTGCAGCGTGAGTAGAAATATTGATACAATTATTTTCGTTTACTCATGTACGAGAGTTATTTTTAATTTCATTATTCACAAGAAATGGAAAAATTTCAGATCATGAAAGCTGCCTTGGCTTACCTGAATTTACTTCGTACCTTTTACGTTTAATACGATGATATCATCGTAACGGGATGTATTATAGTAACGTGTTGATGCTAAAGTATATTTAATAACATTTAGATATACGCTAGCATATTCGCTAATAAATCGTGTTACATAAATTAACGTTCACGTAAATGTAAGCTTGAGATAGAATTAAATTTATTACAATAGTGAAATTGCAGATTAATTTAATATATTCTCAATAAAATATGAAGCTATATTATATACGCAACTTGCGCGCAAAGTGCATACAGTGCTATAATCCTACGCACTTAGTCTGCTGACTGTAATACTTTCTCCCAATGTTGCGTTACGCACTATGGAAATGACAGGGACACGTATACTCGCGCAACTATGTTAGAACTTGTAAACTTTACATCGGTACGCACTTCCACTCGTCATCGTCATGACCCTCAGACATGCGATGACTGGGAAAGGGGGACAACCCCACGTGCACACGCACGTCTTCCCCTTACTTTGTTACATATGAAAGGCTCGGGACGCACTGGGACGCACTTGCACGCGACCTCGGAATCATTATTTCCCCGCGCTTGCGTCGCCACGCGGACGTCGGGACGCTACCGTGTGCGGTAACGTTTTCAGTCGGCGTTACAACCTGCGGACGACAGCATGCACGATCGATCCCAACTTCCAGACAGGATACACAATGTGCAATACGAATACGACACGCGCTACGCCATGCAGTTATGTCGATGGATCCTGAAGCCAATCGGTATCTGGCACCTGATTTACAGTCGTCGCTCGTCACAAGGCGAGAAGCTCTTTTCATTCGTGCTGATCCTCGCGTGCTTCTCCGGCCTGGGCTTCGTGCTTGTACCTGTCGTTCCGTACATTCTGCTCCGTGAGAAGGATATCAACACTAAGGTCAAGCTCTTTGGGCCGATCGGTTTTTGTATAACTTCCGCGATCAAGTACTGCTTCCTCGGACGGCGCGTTACGGCGATCGGAAAATGCGTTGAACATGTTGAGAGTGATTGGCAGATCGTGCGATATCAGGATCATCGCAAAATGATGTTGAATAACGTGCTGGTAGGCCGCAGACTAACGACGCTGTGCGTGATTTTTCTTTACACCGGCGGCATGTCCTATCATGCGATCATGCCATTGTTCGCTAAGACAAAGATAAATGATAGCTTCACGAGTAGACCGTTGGTTTATCCAGGATACGATCTGTTTTTCGATCCTCAGGCAAGTCCAGCTTATGAGATCATCTTTTTCATGCATTGTCTGTCCGCTGTGATACAGTATAGCGCTACGACGGCAACGTGCAGTTTGGCCGCGGCTTTTGCGACGCACGCATGCGGACAAGTACAGATACTGATGACACTTTTGGACGATTTGGTCGACGGAAGGAGGACTAAAGACACTGTGGAGCAACGTCTGAGCGTGATAGTGAAGCATCACGTGCGTGTGCTGAGGTGAGACAAAAACGGGAAAAGCGCCGGGATAGTTTACAGGACGCGTTTCTAGACACTTGGGGTAGATACATGGCGCGTTTCTAGATTTACCACCGACGTGGAGGAAATATTACGTGAGATATGCTTAATCGAACTGGTAGCCGCAACCTTGATTATATGCTTGCTCGAATATTATTGCATGATGGTAAGGAGATTACGGTGGCGGACATCATGATAACGATAGTATCTTTCCGTGAATGATAAGTTCTGTCATGCTCTCTCTTCGTAGTACAGCTGTTTAAAGAGGAAAATCCTCTATTACGAGATAGGTTTCTAATATGAGATAGCAGGTTTTCAATACCCAAATTCAATCACAAATCTTTTTTTGCAACGATTACACAAACTAAGAATGAATTTCTCACTAAACAGATTTCGCTCCAAGGGCAATAAATTCATAGTGAAATCAACTGATGATGCCTATTAATTTAGATTAACAGAAACCCTCGCTATCTCATATATTAGGAGCCTGTCTCATGATAGGGAGACTGTCCTCTATTACAATTACTGTAGCGAAACAAAAAGAATCATCTCCTTTCACTAATAAATTGTAGTTATACGTTTGTCTTCTCAGGAATGGGCGAATAGCGACGCCGTGGCCATCCTTACGTATTTTATTTTATTGATATCTTTAACGTTCAATATTCTGATATTTTGTTATATCGGCGAGCTCCTCGTAGAAGAGGTACTTTTTATGCTATTGCTGATAATACAATTTTTTTTTACAGACTTTAGTGTCTTCAGTCATTGAAGATCCGTAGTGTATCAATCTTATTTTGAATGAATAGTAATGAACATGATACAATTGCAATATTTAATTATTTCTACTTTTATTAGTATAGCAAAATCAGTTCGGCCGCGTATGACAGTAATTGGTACAATTTACCCGGCCATAAGGCTGTCGATCTTATTATGATTATTACGATGTCTCATTATCCACCCAAACTTACGGCTGGCAAGTTCTGTGATTTATCTCTCAATACTTTCAGCACTGTGAGTCTCATAAATAACTCATAAATTTCGTTATTGCTCATGCAATTGTTATATCTGCAATCTATTTCTATTTACTTCTCATAATTTACTTGTTATTGTTACTAATTATTATTAATTTAATATTTTAAAGTTCACATTTTTCACGTTTTTAGGTACTTAAATCATCCGTAGTATATTTAAATTTACTTCGGACAGTTACACAATGAAACTAATACATTCCTCATTATTGCTTCTAGCAACAAATTTGTTATAGATATATTTTTAACAAATATTATATAGAAATTGATAATAAATTAATATATATGTCACATTCATTATCTGTCATTCCAACAGTCTTAAAACAGATGAAATATTATTAAACAAAATTATCTTATTACTGGTTATTTACTATTTAATGCACTATTACTACTATTATTACTGATTTGATTGGTCATAAGATCAAAATTAAAATTTACCACGTTAGAAAAAGTTAGAAACCTGTAACGATATTATAAAACAATACATAAAATGCACATACTTATGTCATATGTAATGTATAGACGATATTCATGAAGTCATCAACAACGCATCATTTGGAACATATCGAAGTTACAACTGTGTATAGAACTATATTAGAACTCGTCACGAACTTCCGATCCCTTCGCGCTCGCGCATCATTGAACGAGCCCTCCAACAAGTAATGACCGTGGGGGAAAAGTCAATCGTCCGCGTACGCATGGTTCACCTCACGAGCACCTCATCATACATGACAGGCATGAAACGCACATACACGCGACACTGAAATCGCTATTTCCCCGCGCTTGCGTCGCGTAAAAGGGAACGTCGCGCAACGTCCGCGTGTTTCAGTCGTCGTTACACTTCGCGGGTGACAGCATGCGCGATCGATCTCGACTTACAGAAAAGATGCTCGAGATGCACAATGTGCACCATGAACGCGACATACGCTACACCATGCAGCTATGCCGCTGGATTTTGAAACCGATCGGCATGTGGTATCCAATCTACGGTCATCCGTCGCAGAGCGAGAAACTCATCTCCATAGCGTTGATCTTCACGTGCTTCTCCGCTCTGTGTTTCGTTCTGATACCTGCCGGAGTGTACACTCTGTTTCGCGAGAAGGATATCAACATCAAAGTCAAGCTCTTCGGTCCAGTCGGCTTCTGCCTGACTAACACGATCAAGTATTGCTACCTCGGTGCACGCGCTGCCGCATTCGGAAAATGCATTCGACACGTCGAGGATGATTGGCGAGTTGTGCGATATCAAGATCATCGCGGGATAATGTTGAAGAACGCGCTGATAGGACGCCGGATCACCACGCTGTGCGCGATTTTTCTGTACGTCGGCGGATTATCCTACCACACAATCATGCCGTTATCTTCCAGACAGAGGATCAACGAAAATTACACGATCCGATTGCATACTTATCCCGGTTACGATCTGTTTTTCGACCCCGTAGCCAGCCCCGCTTACGAGATCGTATTCTGCATCCACTGCCTGTTCGCGCTGATCACGTATAACATCACGACGGCAGCGTGTAGCTTCGCGGCGATTTTTGTGACGCACGTATGCGGACAAATTCAAATACTAATGACGTTGTTGGACGACCTGGTCGAAGGAAAATGGAGCGAGGGCACCACCGTGGAGGAACGTCTGAGCGCGATAGCGAAGCATCATATGCGAATACTGAGGTAAGTGGAAAATATGATGAAAGTATCCAGGTACATATACGCGACGTGTGATTTTCTAGATTTTCGGATAGATACGTGACACGCTTCTAGATTTTCGACCAGCGTGGAGGAAGTACTACGTGAAATATGTCTATTGGAAATAGTGACATCTACCTTAACCATATGCTTGCTCGAGTATTATTGTCTAACGGTAAAGAGAAAGATGCCGTAATATATAACGTCACGATAATTTCAAGTTTCTGTAAACAGGACTTAGCTTGGCTAAATAATTTTGTCGGATGTTACGTTGGTGCATTTTATCTTCCCAGGAGTGGGAAAATAGTGATGCCGTGGCGATCTTGACGTATTTCATCCTGTTGATATCTTTCACATTCAATATTTTGATATTTTGTTATATCGGCGAACTCCTCGTGGAACAGGTAACTTTCATGTCTTTAGAATATAAGAAAGGCTTTCACGGGCTTATCTTTAACTATGTCACGTCAACTAGTTTTCTACAATACAGAAGTATATAATAGAAAAGAAAGACTAAATTTTAATATCAATATCTTTTTGTTGAAGTATGTTTAAAATATGTTTCATTGAGTTATTAAGATCTTGTGCAAAATTTCTCTCAGCGGCATTGCTTGTCCACCCATGATTAAATGCGAACATGGTACGGTCCTAAAATCTATAATCTATAAATGTATAACGGATTTTAAATAAGAGCTTTATATAACTTTACACAAATATTAATATTCCATTTTTATCAGTACAGCAAAATTGGTTCCGCTGTCTATGAAATAAACTGGTACAGTTTATCTGGGAAAAAAGCTCTCGATCTCGTGCTAATCATCGCGATGTCTCATTATCCGCCTAAACTAACAGCTGGCAAAATTTTTGATTTATCCATTTACACATTTGGTGCTGTGAGTTTCTCATAGAATTATTGTTATTGCTCAATTGCTGAACTTCATTATATTAACTTAATTTTCTTTGTATGTTACAATATTTCTTTCTTACTTTTCATACTATTCTTATCACTTTCAGGTACTCAAAACATCAGTAGTATATTTAAATTTACTTCGTACCGTTACGGAATAGAATTTAAACACTTCATATTTACCATAGACCTTGTTGCATAAAATTTGACAGATAGATATATTTTTATTAATAGATATATTGTACAAAAAAACATTAATAAAATAATTATATATTATCAATCCATAATAATAAATAGGGGTGAATCTGTGGGGAAGTAGGCACCAAGATTTTTGTAAGAAGAAATTAATTTAAAGTTTTGCAAGATTAATTTGTAGCTATTTAGCTTTATTTTTAGATCGGCAAAAAGAATGATAAATTCTACCAAGCGGCTTACGATACATGCTCTACGATAAGTTTGATTTAAAGGTTATCATATATTGCTTAAAAGATAAATGAGGATTTAATCTCATATGAAAAATTATTTCTGTACCTCTGATTGAATCTGATTGATTCAGTTTATCTCGAATAAAATTAGTGACTCCATCATGTTTATTATTTTCATATATATGACAAATACATCCACAGTGAAGTCACCCATTTTCTTCTAAGATAGAGACGGTAGACACTAAGTCGCGCCACGTAATTTTTCGACGGACCCAGGATTCGGACCTGGGATCTTCCGCTTGCCGGGCGACTCTGCTTTTCCCCCTGAAAGATATTTTTATTTATTCGTTAAATCCGAAATCCGTTATATCGGAATTTGTCAAATCGAGGTTTTACTGTATTTTATGAAAAAATAACAGACGTTACTATGACATTTATTTAAATTTGTACTTCCTAAATCATATTTTTTATGTTGTATGAATTAATCAGAAAATATTTCCATATTCAAAGCAACGTGGTCACTTTTACATAGTAGAGTAATCATCTTGCAGGCAGATAACATGCAACTGAAGCTATACATCTATTTCTTCGCCACAAAATCGATTTTTCAAGCCTGTGCTATCCTCGCTCCTCCCTTTCTACTTTTCTCCGTCCCTCTACTTTTCTCCTTCTCTTTCTACTTACTCCCTAATATATCGCTGAAAGGTTGTTGTGGTCATGCGCAAATTTTCCACCGTTTTACAATTGATATGTACTAGCCAGTTGCTCGCGCACCTTTGACACGGCAATATGGACAAAATCTCGACGTGGCCCAATACGAACCACGAGAAGGACGTAATCGGCGTTCTGCTATGGAACCGATGGTTATTGCGAGTTCTTGGGATCTGGCCGTTAATATATCCGAACACCACAAGGATCGAAAAGATCCTGGCAATTTTCTTATTCGTGTCGTGCTGGACTGCACTCAGTTTGTTCCTGGTACTTACGAGCATGTACACTTTCACGGACCGAAGTGTCATGGACGAAAAAATGAAGATGCTGGGCCCGCTAGGCTACGTGTTCTTCTCCATGCTGAAATACTTTTTCCTAGTGGTACGTCACAAGAATATTCGGCGATGTATTCAGATTCTCAGTACAGATTGGCGCATAGTTCGCGAGGGATATCACCGGGAAATCATGATAAGGGACGCGGAGCAGGGCCACCTGCTATCCAAATTCTGTATAATGCTCATGTATTGTGGCGGGCTGTCTTACAACACGGTGATGCCTTTTTTGTCACAAACGTTCGACGTAAACGAACAAGGCAACGTCACCGTCCGACCGATGGCTTATCTCGGCTTCGACATCGTCTTCAATTTGCAGCTAATGCCAGTTTATGTGTTCACCTTTTCCCTCCAATGTTTTATCGGTATTGTCATGTTCAACATCACCACATCGGTGTGCTGCTTAGCGGCCATGTTCGTCGCTCACACATGTGGCCAGATCGACATCGTGATCGCACGCGTGGAGGATCTTCTCAAAGGAGATGGCAATCAGTTTGAGAGATGCATGGCGATTATCGTACAGCATCATTTGCGAGCATTGAGGTATTTTTATTTGCTACTTGTATTTCACTATCAGTAAAATTGCACGTCCCGATTCAATAACAATATCCGCATGAGAATATATTCGCCAATTTCTTCATCAGAAGTACTAGATATACGAATTAGATATATGTTAAGTTGTTCAGAATATCATCAGCATAAAAATATTCCGTTTTCTTTTACTTTTATTAAAAATATTATATTCGACAGACGCTAGCTCATTATTTTGTAGATTTTCAGCTAGCATTGAAAATACCTTGCGCGAGTTATGTCTAGTCGAGATAGTGGAAGCGACGTTGATAATGTGCTTCTTAGAATATAGCCTGATAACGGTATATATAATAAATATTATAAATATATATTCCAAATAACAATGTACAACTTTGTAACATTGTCTAATTAATATTTTCCGATATAATACACGAAGCGATATTCCATCCGTAGGAGTGGGACAATAGTGACAGTATAGCGCTCTTCACATTCGTCTTTCTATTCCTTTCATTTGTCTTCAACATCTTTATATTTTGTTACATCGGCGAAGTATTAACCGAACAGGTGCTTATAATATTTAAATTTTACATGTCAGATTGCAGTAATTATCACAGAATTTAATTTTGGCCGATTCTCCATGTATTTAAATAATAAACGCAATTGATTTGTAAATCGCAAATATACAAAATTGGATATACAGTGCAGCAAAGTCGGACATTATGCGTATAAGATTGAATGGTATAATTTACCGGGGAAAGTCGCTCTTGACCTGATGTTGATAATTAATATGTCTCGACATCCAGTGCAAATTACTGCTGGAAAATTAATAAATCTCTCTTTCGCTAATTTTGGAAATGTAAGTACAGTTTATTCTTGTGTGTAGAAATATAGTAAATTTGAAAGAATGATTAAAATTAAACAAATTTACAATTTGCTGCAAGAAGAATTTTGGTATGATTAATAATTCATGCACTGCACTTTATAGGTACTGAAAACATCGGTTGCATATTTAAATTTGATTCGAACTGCCGTTTGATAAAGTAACATGCGATCATTCGGATTCTCTCTGGCGCAAAAAGCATTAATAAATATTTTTAAGGTGAAAAATGTATGCGTGTTAAATAAATTATTTAATGCAACTATGAAAAATTTATGTTGATTTTAAAATTAACAAGAAGACTCATTATTGGTAAAACGTTTTACCTACATGTTTCTAAAAAATAAGAACAAATAATATTTATGTATATATTTTCTAACAAACCAATATTTCTAGAAGCACACCTATTATTAAGACGTACTTAATATTCACTTTTTTTCTGCCTCCACAAATCACTCCGTTTTAAATGATATCACGTTTCTCAATTTAAAAAGCAGGCTTTATCATTCAGGTAAAAAATACGCGGAAATAGCACAAGTAGTTTCATATGCTGCAGAAAAACAGCAAGTAGTAATACAACCTTCCCCTCTGTGGCAGCAATATTCCCCTCGATAAAATTGATTTTTCAAGCACACACGCGCTATCTTTTTTCCTTTCGTATCCACACTTTGTCGAAAGCATCTACCATTGTCATGCGCAATTTTTTACCATCACGCAATCGACAAAGTACACCTTTGTCCTTGCACCCTCGAGACGGTAGTAAGGCCAAACTTAATATCTGGTCGAATATGAACTGTGAGAGGAATATAATCAATGCGTTAGTGTGGACAGCCGGTGGACACTACGAACGCTTGAAATTTGAACGTTAGTGTATTTAGATACTAATCGATCGAGAAGAGTCTGGCGATGATATCGTTCGTAATCAGTCTTTATTTTGTATTTCATTTTAATCTCGCATTTTCAGTATTCAAAAAAACTGCGACAGAGGGAAGTTCACCATGAAATCGCTTTTCCGCAAGAAGTAATGTGTTTTTGCGCCGATGCTAGAGCTCCTAACAAAAACGCTTCGTACAATGTTAATCACGCACGAGCGGACTGTGCGCAGACAGAAGCATGTCTGCAATTTGAGCGCAAGCGCATGTACAACAACCTTGCAATCAATGTCGCGCTCGTGTAGTCTTTAACGGTCGCTGTAATCGTCAACATGCCAAGTGCACGCGAGAAGCAGGATCTCAGTTATCAGCAAGACATTCGATATGTCTTTAAGCTGAACAGCTGGATTCTGGGTTCGATCGGCATCTGGCCAATCTCGATTCGGGGTATCGGACGGCACGTGTCCAAAATCGCGATCGCGCTCACTAATCTCGCGTTAAGTTTCGCGATGGTGCCTTGCGCCCTGCACATCATTTACGACGAGAAGGACCTCATCATGAGACTGAAGCTGTGCGGCCTGCTGGCCTTCTGTATCACGGCAACGATCAAGTATTGCATCCTCGTGATACGTCGCCCTAAGATTCTGCGCTGTATCGAATACGTAAAGCATGATTGGTGGCAGGTCGGTGTTGTCAATAATTAATGTAATGTGTTACGTTACTTTGCAGACTTCATCACGAACAATCGTACTAAGAATCATTTAAATGAGATCTGTAATCTCGCATGTGAATTAATGTGACTTCGGTTTAAAAATAATTCACTCTTATGAAACCACTGTTCTTTCTGCATATTTAAAAAGTGCCATTTAAAATCTTGCAGAATTACAACGTAATACACTAAAATAAAAAGCGATTTCTTATTTATCGAAAAATAAAAATTACCGTCAATGTTGTGACAGGTGACGTTCAGATCAGATCGGGAAGAAATGCTAAAGTACGCTACCATCGGGCGCAATCTAACGATAATTTGCGCATCTTTTATGTACACCGGCGGCATCATTTATTATGGGATACTAATCCCGTTTTTCTCCGAGACCAATATCAACAATCACACCGTCAGACCGCTCGTATATCCGACTTACAGTGAATTCCGCCAATCTCAGATTAGCCCGATATACGAAATCGTATATGTGGCTCATTGCATGTGCGGTTACACCATATACTCGATAACAGCCGGTGCGTGCGGATTGGCCGCTCTGTTTGCCACTCATGCGTGCGGCCAGATTCAAGTGATTGTATCGCGATTGGAAGATCTCTTAAATGGCGAAAGCTCCAACGTTCATCAACGAATCGCTATCATTGTGAAGGATCACGTCCGCGTAGTAAGGTAAGAACAGCAACTCATAAAGAATTCATGACAGTTCAATGACATGAAAAGATTAAAAACTGAAATTAAAATTCTTTAATGATTTGCAATCTAAATTGTAACTGATAAAAAGATTCTGAAAATATCCAATGACAAGTTACGATTTTAATAATACTGTTTAACTCGTTTAACGTAATTGATTTAACTAAAAAAAAATGATATTAACATTGTCATGCCTAATTTAATTTGATATCGAGAGAATTAATGTAACTGCTAAATGCTGCATAATTGCGTTCATATAACTTATTTAACTATTTTCATTTCGTTATATGAAGGATGTGATAGAGAATGCAACAGGTGGTCTCAGCGAATATTCAACACATTTCAGTAAATGGTACTATTACATATCAATGGGCCATAAGCATGCGTTATTGTATATTGGTCTACGCTATAGATATATACATATATATATATATATGCTGCACAGCAGCTACACACGTAGTTATGTTAGAGTAAGAATGTGTGAGGCAGTGCATTCAAGTTTCCCCGTACAACTCACGGTTGGTTTATTGCAGGTTTTCAGCCGTGGTGGAGGAAATTTTACAAGAAGTATGTTTAGTGGAGTTCACTAGTTCTGTATGCACGATATGTCTACTCGAATACTACTGTATAGTGGTGCGCTCATATATACCATATACTTAAAAAAAAGAAAAATAAAGGATTAGCGCGAGAAATCTTAAAATTTGCTACTTACAATTTAATAGGATTGGCAAGACGACAATAAGCTTAGCTTAGCAACTTACTTTTTACTCTTCATTTCGTTCTGTTTCAATATATACATATTATGCTACATTGGCGAGCTTCTCATGGAAAAGGTACAGTTACGTTTTTCAGACAATTTTTCAGTTCGACAACTGTAATCATAATTGAATAACCGTTCACAACCGATGTTGCAGAGCAGTGAAATTGGATCGATGTGTTATATGATCAATTGGTATCAATTATCACCGAGATCAGTGCGCAGTCTTATCCTGATAATCGCTATGTCAAGCCATCCCATAAAACTTAGTGCCGGTAGAATGGCAGACTTATCGTTAACGACTTTTGGAAATGTGAGGCATTACGTACATTCATTAATTTAATTTCCTTTTCCTCTATCTTGCACATTTTTTATTCTACCTTCTGTTTTCAAGCAAAATTATTCCACGGAAAAAATCGATGTCTCCAGAATTATTTTTTAATAGTACTGTAGAGTAAAACAAATGTAGCAATAGATTTCATTTTATAAATTATAAAAAGTTAAATTACGGCTGAAGATATATTATCGTATTTTAATAACTTTTTAGGTATTGAAAACTAGCGTGGCATATCTGAGCTTCCTACGGACAGTTATGTAAATATGACTGCAATTATGTGACATATATTTAAAAATATTTTAAATTTGATCCAGCTAATCTGTTCAACATAGAATCTTAATAAACATATATAATGATAATATTTAAAATAATACGTCACTATCAGATGTCCAAATAATTTATAATTTTCTTTCTTACTTTCTTTAACGCTTATTAATATTTAATTTAACATTGATAGTTAAATAAAGCAGAAAATATTAAACTGTGAACAGTTTTGTGAATTTTACCAAACCTGCTTGTGATTTTTTAAATAATCGATTAAGCTCGGAAAAATTGAACCAGAACGGCGGAAGTGCTTCTTTCGATTTAGAACTGCCGCGATGTAAAATATGCTCTGCACGGTTAATAGCGTGCACACGATTTCTCAGACTATCATTGACCATCGGCTGGCATTGCAAAAAAACCCCTGCAATGCCAGCGCAAGCGCATGTCTCGCGACCTTGTAATCAATGCCGCGCATCCACCTCTTCGCTCTTCTTGCAGTCTTCGACGCAATCTGTCACCGCGAACATGTCCAATGTACACGATAAGTCCGCGACGTCGCAGAACTCCAGTTATCAGCAGGACATTCAATATGTCTTTAAATTAAACAACTGGATTCTGGGCTCGCTCGGTATTTGGCCAGTTGCGATACGAGGCATTGGACGGCACGTGTCTAAGATCGCGATCGCGATTTGTAATCTCGCGTTGAGCTTCGCGATAGTGCCCTGCGCTCTGCATATCGTCTATGATGAAAAGGATCTCATTTTAAGGCTGAAGCTAAGCGGTCTGATGGCTTTCTGCCTCACCGCCATGACAAAGTACTGCATCTTCGTGATACGTCGACCTAAGATACAACGTTGCATCGAATATGTGAAGACTGATTGGTGGCAGGTCGGTGTTGCTAGTAACTGACATATCATGTTAATGTGTGACATTCGTTACAAGATGCCGAAAAAATGATTTGAGAAAATAGAACGTGATTAAAGTGATTTTGATTTTGATTCGATTTTGTGATCTTATCACTGTTCAAGAAGCGTATATATTTTGTGCAATATAATAATGAAGACATTTATACATAATTACATATACAATATTTAATATTAAATAGTCGAAACGTGCACGATTAATTAATCTTTTCTCCGCGTTGTGCGGTTAAAAAGGCAAATTAGATATCAAAATTGCCCATTTTTGTAATGACTTAAATAAAAGTCACTAGCAACACTGTGACAGGTTACATTCAGGTCCGATCGCGAATTAATGCTGAAATACGCCGCCACCGGTCGTAATCTGACGATAATCGGCGCATCCTTCATGTACACTGCTGGCATCATCTATCACTTAATTCTACCCTTCTTTTCCGAGCACAAAGTCAACAATCAAACCATCAGACCGCTTGTATATCCGACCTATAGTAAATTTAGTCAATCACAAATTAGCCCAATATATGAAATCGTATATGTGGCTCATTGCATGTGTGGATACACCATATATTCGGTGACAGCCGGTGCTTGCGGATTGGCCGCCTTGTTCGTCACGCATGCATGCGGCCAAATCCAAATACTTTTATCACGACTAGAAGATCTATTGGCTGGTGGAAAATTTGAACCAAGTCCGAATGTTAATCATCGAATCGCTACCATCGTGAGAAATCACGTACGAGTTATAAGGTAACGTCTTACTAAAATTTTACGATAATTTACCAAATTTTGAAAAATTAAAAACTTCTCAGCGTAAATTATAAATAACAATCGCTAAATACTAACAGACCACAAATTTCTTCGAGTCTATAACTCAATACATGTAGTTGATTTAACAAAGGAATAATTTCTCTTTTTTTCATTTGGTACCAAAGGTATTGATATGCATTTCGTTCATATAATGTAATTATTATCATTTCACTATACATAAATATAATAAGTAGAGAAATGCAACAGGTGATTTGTAATAGGCGGTACCACTGCGCGTCAAGCAATGCGCAGATTATATGCTCCCATGCTCTATTTACGTGCACGGAGAGACTGATATGGTTACCACTTGTCTAATTACGGTTGGCACAACCCCAATAAATAGTAATATTTGAGACAGCTATATCTGTGGTTGTCATACCCACAATGGTATGATTAGTAATGGAGACAACTACATACGTTTTGTGCAGCAAACTTAGTGAACGTTACAACACAAAACAATGCAGATGCCCCTACTATTTATACGGCAACATTTTAATTTTAGGTATTTTTGCCTTAGCCGGTCTTTCCGTGTGTAGATCAGCTTATAGTCCTATTTACTTACACCGCGCATCAACTTTGGACATGTATTATAGTTAGGATGATGCAACGTGCGTTCAAACTTTCTTATATAAACTGAAGTGTCTTTTCTAGGTTCGCGGCCGTGATGGAGGAAGTTTTGCAGGAAGTGTGTTTAGTAGAGTTTACTAGTTCTGTATGCACGATATGTCTGCTCGAGTACTACTGTATAGTGGTGCGCTAACATGTATTAAAGAAACAGAAAAATTCAACAACTCTTAAATAAAATATCCTGTAAAATTACGTTTGATATTTAAAATTCGATAGGATTGGCAAGCGGACGACAGAATTGGTCTAACGACTTACTTTCTGCTCTTTGTGTCATTCTGCTTTAACGTTTACATATTATGCTATATCGGCGAGGCTCTCATGGAAAAGGTATATTTTCATTTTTCGTTTTTCTTATATATCACGTTTACTTTAATAAGCATTAATAAATGAATAATCCTTCGCGACTGGTTTTGCAGAGTAGTCAGATTGGATCAATATGCTACATGATTAATTGGCACCAACTATCGCCAAAATCAGCTCGCAGTCTTATATTGATAATCGTGATGTCCAGCCATCCTATAAAAATCACTGCTGGTAGAATGGTAGATTTGTCATTGACGACTTTTGGAAATGTGAGACATTACGTGTATTTATTCATTTTATTCCGTATCTTGTATTATATTTTCTATCCAAGCTTTAATTTTGAAGTAAAACTCGCAATAATTCTAAAAAATTAATATCTCAAATATTGTTGAATATTGCTGTGTGACAAATGTAGTAACAAATTTCATTATAAAAAATTTGAAAAGCTAAATTACGGTTGAAAAACTTATACTTTTATTATGCTTTAATAAATTTTTTTTTAGGTATTGAAAACTAGCGTAGCGTATTTGAGCTTCCTAAGGACGTTAGTCATGTAAATATATATAATTACAATTATATACCTTATATTAATAAATATTTTAAATTTGAATTAATTTATTCCACATTAAATATTGGTATAGCTCGCAGTTTTATATTAAATCGCGATGTCGAATCATTTCCTAAAAATTCATGTTGGTAAAATAATAATTTAACGATTTTTGAAAGCATTATATACATATATTTATATGTTATGATTCCAATTTTACTTCAATTTTTAGAATAAAACTTGCAACAAATGAATATATTCTGTAAAAAATTAATTAATATCTCTAAAATTATTTAACGTCATTCTGTTGCTTAGATTATTTTATAATCTAGTTTATTTTATAATCTAAGCAACAGATTTCATTACAAAAATTATAAAAACCAAAAATTAGAAAGTAGAAAAATATAGTATTATATAACTTTTTTTAGATAATGAGAGAGAACAGCGTATCTTTTCTACACACCTTAGTAATATAAATTACATGAAATTATATGACAGAGAAGAAAATCATTATTTTGATCTAATTATTTAATCTAATTTATCAGTTCAATATATCTTTGTGTATATGTATAAATAATCTATCTACATAATGAGATTATTTATCGAATAAAACATTTACGTCTATATATCGGTGCGCTTCTTCACTTTTTTTACCTTACTAACTCATTAAATCACCTACGTATTACTAATTTCAATTTTTCAAATCTTTTATACAACGCGTGTTAACAAACAACTTAACTTTGGCAATTAATTAAAAGAGAGAATGCTAAATTACAATTTACTTAATTTTCTTTTATCTTAACTATTTTAATTTGTCAAATTGCTGATTAAAATGTAATTTAAGTGACACGGGGAAAGTATCTTTCCGATCTAAGATCACCAGACCACGTAAGACACGCATCGTACGACTACTGTTCTGTTAATCACACGCATACAAGAGCGTCAGCAGAAGGATGCCCGCAACAGGAGCGCAAGCGCATGTCCACCTTGCAATCAATGCCGCGCGACCACCTCGTGCAGTCTTCAACGGAACCTGGCATTGCGAACATGGAAAGCTCACAAGACGAGCACGTGGTGTCTCCGAACGCCAGTTATCAGCAGGACATACGGTATATCTTCAAGCCCGGTTTCTGGGTCCTCGGCCCAATCGGCATCTGGCCGGTCGCGATTCGCGGAATCGGGCGACATGTGTCCAAGATCGCGATCGTACTATGTAATTTTGCGTTAGCTTTCGCGATAGTGCCTTGCGTTCTGCACATCATTTACGATCAGAAGGACCTCAACATAAGGCTGAAGCTGTTCGGGCTGCTGGGTTTCTGTACTACCGCGATGATGAAGTATTGCGTTCTCACGATACGTCGACCCAAAATATTGCGCTGTATCGAACACGTGAAGAGTGACTGGTGGCAGGTCGGTGTTGTCAATACATAAAGTGTGTTGAAGTTAACAGACAAAATTTGTCAGTGTAACCATGACAAGTGATGATTTATTTCTTTCTTTTGCGAGCACAAAAACCGATCAATCTTGACTCTGAAGCAATATTTTCCGATATTTTTAAGCAAGTCTTTCGACTTCGTATAAACGTTCATTTATTTCATACTCTTGAATGTAATTTTTACTGTGTTATTTACACAAATACGAATTAAACACGGAAATGTAGCGTTGCAACAGAATACGCTAGTGTCGCAATATCAAAAATATTTTTTTTCCGCGAATAATTTCTTTAACCAAAGCTATGATTGCAACGAGATTTAAGACAGCATTTTATGCATTGACAAAATTTAAATCTAATTTCACAGCCTGCGTGTATTATTCCGTGTTCACAAAACACATTAAATGAATCTCGTTTTAAAATAATTCTATCCGTCTTATATATTTTTCTTTTAGTGACAAATTATTATTTTGTCGCTCTTTTGATAATTACGATTGTTTACAATTTGTGACAGGTGAAATTCAGCTCTGATCGCGAATTGATGCTCAAGTACGCTACTACAGGTCGTAGACTGTCTATGATCAGCGCGACTTCCATGTACATCGCCGGTTTCATTTATCACACAATTCTGCCGTTCTGCACCGAGCATAAAGTCGACAACCAAACTATTAAACCACTCGTGTATCCAACTTATAGTAAGCTCTTTAAGACGCAGGCGAGCCCAATATATGAAATGGTGTACCTGGCCCACTGCGTGTGCGGATACACCATGTATTCGGTGACAGCTGGATCGTGCGGATTGGCAGCAATATTCGCCACTCATGTGTGTGGCCAGATCGAAGTGATCGTATCGCGACTTGAGGACCTCTCGAGTGGCAAAAACTTTGAGCAAATGTCGGATGTTAATCAACGAATTGCTCACATCGTCAAAAGTCACGTTCGAATATTGAGGTAACATAGTTACATGTATTTTTGTGAAATTAATGTTTTTCAGAATCTTAATAATTTAATAGAATTTCAGTGTGTTTGTGTATGTGCATGTATTCCTCTTTAAATTCATTTTAATTCTCATTATATTTTGAAAAGAATCCTGGCAAGTAAATATAAAAAATAAAATCCTAAAGATAAGAATGCCTCAATTATATATTTTTCTTATATTGTAAATTACTAATTATTTTATTTTAACTATAATAAAATCAATTTAAATTGACAATAGCATTCTTAAGACATTTCAAAAATTTTTTAAACCTATTAAAAAAATTTTAATCCACAAAATTTTCGAAAATTTTTATCTCTGTCTTTACATACATTATCTTATTACCATGTACACGTCCACTTCATTTTTATTTCAATATTATTGATAAAATTCGAACTCTTTTCTAAAAAGTAGAATTTTTTCTGTAGAAGAAATCTGTTTTAGAATATATTTCAAGAAAAAATTCTATCTATTAATACTCAAAATGATTTTGAGTACAAATTTTCTATTTTATAATATAGTATACATATAATTTTTCACCACGACTTGCGCAACGTACAAAAGGCGGGTAAATGCAACAAGTGCCTTTGACGGACCTCCAATGCATTTCAGTGGGCGGTGCAGTTACATACCTATGGATTATGCGCAGATCATGAGCATGCGCTGTTATATTCTCAACGAATACCTATATATGTATACATATATTTCTCACTCTATAAAACTGAATCCAGATGCTATTGAAATTGGCACGTAATTTTCAAAAATCAAAAGTTTTATTAACAAATTCGTTTGCACTCACAGTTTTACAGTTGCTGGTAGATTTTAGAAATTGTTTCGATTTGGATAGAAAAAAATGACGCTTGAAAATATGAGGTGCTAATTTCACGTACGTGGCATCTCAAGTTGCAAAAAATGATTTCAATTACAGAACTTTATAGTTCTACAAAAGTTCTTCAAGATTGATTTAATAATTACTTATAAAATATTTTCTTACTCAACTCACAAAATGACAAAACTTATGTTTTAAAAAATCTTCATTGTATACCTTGTATACAATCGTTTGACTATTCTGAGAATGAAAAGAGTTTCATAAAAGTCGACTTCTCACATACGAGTAATAGTGGTCTGTTTCAGATTTTCCGCCGCCGTGGAAGAAATTCTACAGGAAGTGTGTTTACTGGAATTCGCCAGTTCCATATTTACAATGTGTTTACCCGAATATTACTGCATAGTGGTACGCGCTAATATGTATATTAAAAAAAGGAAGCCAATCTGTTCTCTAAATCCTAAACAGATCGATTTGTTACTTATAATTTTTAATAGGACTGGCAAGATAGCGATACAGTAGGACTAACAACTTATTTTCTGCTCTTTGTTTCATTCTGCTTCAATATGTATATATTATGTTACATTGGAGAACAACTCGTGGAGAAGGTATATTTAGACGTAATATCCAATTTAAAAGGATTTAAACTCATAATGTTTAATTATTCGATTTTCGCGTTAGCAGAGCTGTAGTGAAAAATGCAAAATATTCAGGACATGTTGAATATCTTTCGTCAATTTAACGTTTCAGAGCAGCCAGATTGGAACGAGGTGCTTTATGGTTCGTTGGTACCAACTGCCGGCAAAGTCGGTCCGTAGTTTAGTCTTAGTGATCGCCATGTCTAGCCATCCCATAAAGATCAGTGCTGGCAGAATGATAGACTTATCACTGGCGACATTTGGAAATGTAAGAGATTATACGAAATTTTTACATTGTAAAATCAATCTGACGGCAGAAAACTTAAAAGAAATAAAAAACCGACATTAAAAAATTATTGGAAAGCGCTTGTATTTTTTTCGTACACGCCTTTAAACTGCAGCTGATAAATTACGAAAAAGTAATATGTATTATTTTAATATAACTTTCTATTAGGTACTCAAAACAAGCCTGGCATATTTAAGTTTTCTTCGGACGTTAGTAGTGTGAATGTATAATGGAAATGCTATGGCAAATATCTAAAGGGGGATAATATCGAAAACGTGACGTTTCCTTTGTAATAGAACCCTCATAGACCCAACGTAAGCATTTTAGTAAAGTAATCGATTTCTGGAAAAACTAATTCTTTCGCTAACTTTCTCTTTTCGAACATGTATATAAATTTTATATAATACACAATATTATTTCAGTTCATTGATCAATAATTCAATATAAACATATATAATTGTTTAAAAAGTTAAATTAAAGCAGTATAAGATTTATAATGATTTATCACAATATCTTATTATTGCCAATATTATTATGTTTTACATTTATCCACTATAGAAATCATGTAGCGATAGGATAATTAGTCAGCTGATTGCTGGTGATTTTTACCGATTGCTGGTCAAATTGCTACTGTCAAAGGGACATATGACAGAAGTGTTTTCCATAAGCAACAAAGTATGACCGAAATACAGTTAAGGTCCCAAATAAAACTATATAACACGTGTAAATAAATAACTATTGTGACTTGTATGCAAGTGAGAATGTAACGTATCGGTAACTATACTCCAGTTTTCGCAGCTGTTGTTTTTATTTTACCTAACCTCTATTAACCCCACATTTATCTCATGTAACAAAGATTCACATAATTTTGTACTGTAACCTTACACAAAAATTTATATATCTAACAGAAGAAAGGAACTGTGCACGTGTATATTAATGATATGATAGAAGTTAATTACAAGTAATTTAACAACGCAGTATATAATTAATGAGCAAAGTATTTTTCAAGATAGAAATTGGATATAACGTACAAATGTAAAAATGTCCTAATATCTCTTAGTAGGATTTTTTAATATTCACTAGAAAAGATTTCCAATTGTATTAAGATAACAGTGAGTGATATATAAAGTGGTGCGACAAGTGCGTTATACATATATGTCACTATCGCAAAATGTCTGAGAAAAAGACGATCGGTGGTATTCCTGTGGAGTGTCTAACTGGAGAGCCAGCTGCGATATGGTCTGGCTGGCGTACACTGGGAGACAGAGAGCTAGTGAGAGAAGCCTCTGCCAAGGGAACTCATATAAAGCTAGCTCATAAATGCCTTGCACACAGAAGAAATTGTTCTGTAGAGCAGGCATGTATATATTTTAACAAAGAAGTTGATAATTGGGTCACCGAATTACTGAACAAGAAACAAGTTTACAGAGCTTCACATATCTTAAAAAATATGGTATGTCATAGATAATAATTAATAAAGTTTCAAAGTTACATGCTCTCTTTATATTTTATATAAATGAGCATTCTTTTTTTATAGGGAAAGGATCCTGTGGAACATATTTTTGCCGTTTCCATAAAGAGCAAGGATCCACTCTTAAGGAACTATCTGTGTGAATATATGATAAATGTCGATGGATTTGAGACTGAACATGTCACAGCCTGGAATATTATCAAGTCTATCAGGCAACATGAGGAAAAATGCAAGTAAGTTGTGAGAATAAAAATACACATCCGAGGATTGGAAACAAAGCATATTAATAAATTATCTTTGTATTTTAGAATTCAAAATGGATTAAGTTCTTGTATATGCATAAATGATATAATAAAACTACCACAGAACATTGAACAAGCCTTACGCACTGAATTATATTTCTCTTTGAATAACCCAGAGATCTTGGGAAATGTGCCAAATAATATTTTGTGGGATTACTTGTTATCTAATAATAAAATTAATGCGTTAAGGCTATGGATTGATGCAAAATATAATCCAGATGTTCTAGAGACCTCAGATAAAATTGACCAACACTTGAAGTCGTTATTTACGAATTTAGATATTACATCCGATATGATCGATTTTACAGATTCTTCAAATGCTAGTGATCTTGTAAAAGATCTAACTAAAAATTATTTATGTAGGTACGTACGTAGCTGTCTAATGTGTATTTATATTATCGTTACTGGTATAATGATAAATCTCAAAGAAAATTTATTTTAGGTACGGCATTTACACAAAAGAAGAAAAAAGCAATTTGAAATCAATATTGAATCGTTCTTTCGGCTGTGGTATTGCACTGGAAGAACTTGGTGCGATATTATCTCTAGCTTCCTGCAATATCGATAAAACAGAATTTTTGCAGAGCATTGATCAACAACTGTGCCTTACACATTGCTCGCAAAGCTGCCATACTCAGGAAGACAATTTAAAAGTTAAAAAATTATTTAACGTTTTAACCGATATGTGTAATGTTCGAGATAATCACGAAGATGCGTTACTACGTGGAATTGTAGAATCGATTGATTATATCTCCGACGATTTTAATGCCTATCTGAAAGAGAATTATTTAGTAAACTTGGCATTAATATTTTTACGATTATGGCAGACACGGAGCTCGTTGTGTAACGAAGCAAACTCTTCAGAGAGAAACACACTAATGAGAGATATATTTACGAACAAGATTGTTTTAAAAATTGACACGCGTGTTATTTCCCAACAAGTTCTTCAGTGCACGCTTATGCATATGCCGAGGCTGCAAAGTATCATCGAAAATCAGAATGATAAAGATGATATCACAGTATACGACTTATTGGACGGCTACAGAAATTTAAATTCAAAATTCTTATTCAAGTGGCGCTTCAAAAATGAGCCTTTGCCTACTTTCACGAATGAAAATCTTATCAAAAAATACGGGCATCAAGAAACGCTAACGTATGGTTATTATCTGAAAGAAGGCAGACCGAACATGGCTGTGCACAGCTTAACACACGCACAAGCAAAACTGCTTGGAAATGTATCCTCCCATAGGTTCGTATATTCGCGATGTTAATATTAATTTTGTCGTCGTTAACGTCAGTAATTCGAATAATTTTAGGAAATTCAAAGCGGCCTTATACGCGCACGTTCTCGCTTTGAGAAACTTAGATAAGTCTGATATCGTATGTGGCTGCATTGCGTTCATCGAGTTGCTGAGAATCGACTCGAGCAATTTACAATTACACGTTACTGTGGCAAAATATGTACAAGAGCAACTAAACATCTCCATAGGTAATCTAGCTTGTCTAACCAATATATAATAATATCGGCATAAGAAAACATTAAATAATATTCTTTACAGGGAATTTACTGGAAAATATAGTGTATAAGAACCAAACTGATTTAAAGGCTGTGATATCGTATCTAGAAGAGAGCTTTCAAAAACATTTACTGGATAAAACTTTCATGTGCGATAACACGCAATTTGTCGAAGCGTTAAAAATATGGGACGTCATCGTACGCTTCGCACGTGTTCACAACTATACGCTACCTAATACGTTGCCGAAATATTTAGCAGATCATGACTTGTGGTTCGAATTCATCGCAGTCTGTCATATATTTGGTTATCCTACAACCCAGGTAAGTTTCACAAGTTCTCTTAAAGCTGGGCAGCTCCAAACCAGAAAGATAGAATGCAACCTAGTGGATTATTTAATGCTCATTTTGCACTACCTTGTAGCATCAAAAACAATCTTGTACCTAGTGCTATTAAAACAATTGACACAGTAAACTTAGTCGTCTTTTAGCGGAGAATTATTTTTTTAAGAGTCTTATAAAGTAACAGAATGAACAGAATTAATTCTCATTAATATTTTTCAAGAGCAACAAATTTGTGTACTAATGGTATTATCCATAATACCATTGGCATTACTTTTACACGAACATAAAAATGATAAATTTCGCCAAGTTGGTCTTCCTTTAGCAGAAATTTTCAATGAGATTTAAATGATTGGTAGTACAAAATAGTACTAAATAATCCAACAGATCACATTCGGCTCTACTGATCCTGCTAACTTAAGAGAGTTTGTGAAATAATGGTGTGTTGACTTAAATAATTATTATTTTATAAAAATAAAATTCAAACCAATCACATACTAGATGCTGGAAAACGCCAAATTGTTTAGTAACGCAAATGTACGGGAACATTTGCTAACATGTTTAAACAATGATAAACTTGGCAAATCTCAACCGTATAACGAACAGAAGACGAAATTTCATGATGCAAGGCAATCATCATCGATGCAATACAAAGTTGGAGTAAAAGAAAATGTAAGATTGTTATACTGTGTTTTACTAATTTTAGTTTCTGTACGATAAACAAAGTCATTTTCCAGGAATCTCCAGTATCCACCTCAGACATATCAGAAATTGAGACAGATACAATTGATACAGCTAATGCCAAAGATATTACCAGCAATTGCGTCTCAATTTCGTCGGATAATAATTTATGGTTAACTATATTAAGCTGTCATCAAAGTCAAGACCCACCCGGAGCATTAATTAATGCATCTCGTACAAATCTAAAGCCTATATTGACTATCTTAGCTACGTGTTACGAGGTATTATTTTATTTCGATTCATATTAATACCAATTACATATTTTATCTTTCGTCGTGCAACTTAAAAATCTTGTGTTTATAGCCGTCATCTGTAGCAGCATATTGTTACTGTTGGATGGTAATATCGACAGGAAAAGAGGACATAATTCTGGATTACACGGAATGTCTGGAGCAACAAATATGGCCTTCCGATAAAGTATCGGAATTACTCAATAAAATGGTTCAATGCGATTATATTAACACAGTAAATCGAGCTTACAAAATTTTTATGCCTGTAAGTTTAATTAACGTAACATTAACGGCAGAATATTCTTCATTGTAATTGGTGCTAATATCTTGCAGGATAGTATTTTAAATCCATTCTTTGAGTTTCTGACGCAAGCAATCAGTTATGGCGAATTCAAGGAAAATCAACAGCATTTAATAGAGTTTAAATCGCAATGTTCCTCGCTTAAATGCAACGTACGTACAGAATTACAAAGAAACAATTTCAATATACTAATTAACTAGCCAGGTCACACAGATTTAACGGATCTTGTACTTTTTAGAAAATTATGGACTGGGATAGTGTCCATTTTACGTATTTAAAAAATTTGTATTGGGTTGCAGTTGTCGCAATCCAATGTATCGTTACGGCACTCGGCTACGGCTTTCAAAGTACGCCGTTACGAGTAAAGTTTCTTGAAGTGTTGATAAAATGTAATTTTTCTGCAGATTTACCAGGTAAAATGTGTGCATGAGTATCTGCGTATGTACAGTTTATTTACATTAATTTGCCCTGCTAAATGCAGTTACGATAACTTGTAATATTGCAGTTGCAGTGCCGGATTTTCAACGTTTGTTAGATATAATAAAAATTCTGCAAAAAACCAACGTGACACTAAATTTCAGAACGATTACTTTTATCGATAATGCATATCATTTTGACACGGAGATTCAAAGATGCATTGATGATTTGACAGCAATCGAAAATTATAGCACTGCATTGGAATTAGCATGCTGCGCCGGATTAAATTCATCCGAGATCATATTAGCCCAAGTAAATTTACCAAGGAATTAAATACTCTTTATATTGCTATACATTTTTTTCGAAGAATATAATATAGTATTATATTTTCAGTCTCGAAATACTTTTAAACAGTCTATAAATAAAGATGGTCAAGTAAATTCGACCTACTGGTTGCAATGTGCTCAGGATTTTAATAAATACAATGTTCCGCCTCAAGTAGCAGTTGAGTTTTTTGTCGAACATGCTGAGAAAGTTGTGTCGCACAAAGAAAGGTAAATGACAACACAATGCTAATCCTATAACTAATTAAATATAACTATAAATGACCAATTTTTTCTAGATATGAAGTTTTAAAATTGGCTTATGAGACTTTGAAAAATACTGAAATTGAGCAACAAACTATCGATACTCTGGAGATGGCAATGTGGAAATCTTGCATTTTAGCTGGACCTGAACATATAGAATTTAACTACAATAACTATATTTTCAATAAATTAAAAACCGAGTTACTGTCTGGTTTGGATAAGTTACAAGTCATTTGCTCCTTGACAGACGAAAATGAAAAAAATGCTGCAGAAATTCTAATAAATAAATTGATTGATCTGGGCAAATTGGCTATTGCTTTACGAATAAGTATAATTTTTAATTACAATCACAAAGTAAGTAATATTCTTTTAAGATTTATAGATATACTATTATACAGATATACTATAGATATACTATTAAATTTAAAAAACACTATTTTTTATAGGATCTGCAAATATTAATGTTGTGCTTAAGTTTAGCGGAAGGTGAAATTTCACCAGCGGATTTAACTTTGCAGCAAAAGAGTCTTTTAGAAGAAAAGAATCAGAACAAGCAACAAAAATATAGCACTTTACGTAATCGCGGTCTACAAAGATTTTCTTCATCGTCATCCTGTATGCCTCGCTCTTTTCTTTAATAAACATTGATAATATTTCTACATTTAATCCATCTAAAAATATTTTATAATGCTTTTATATCTAAATACATTTCTTTTTTACAGTAAACACAATTTCGTCGATTGTAGAAGCTAGCAAAACAAACGATACAACGACTAGCAATCGTCATCTCCAAATGGAGTGTATTTCAACCTTAGAAAGATTATCGGAAGTTCTTACACACGGAAATGAGATATGCTTCAGAATTGTTTCATGTTATAAACTTGCTACGCGTTTAGGGAAGTCATATCAATCGCTGTTGATGCTAAAAGATCCAATAAGATTCTTACAGGAAATTACAGAAAGTAATATTGAAAATAAGTTGGAAACTGCTAATGACATAATAACGTCTTACAAAATTAAGACGGAAAACGTGGCAACGTTCCTGGCTGATAATATTACAAAGCACATAAATTGTGCCATAGACGGTAATTATGGAAAAAGTAAATTTTTACTTCAAATTATTATGTCAATATTAAAAATAATATCATTATATTTATATTTCAACAGATGGTTTGGAAGATTTAATTTTTATGTGGGGCTATTCCTTAAATTCTCACTTCCACTTAATAATGGAGTTATGCAGCGATGTCTCGTTATTAGGCCTAAAATTGTTAAAGACAGCACAATCATTGCTGGGAAGATACATTAGTACTCACGATGAAAAAAGAAATGGTAATTTTCACGTATTTTCTTCAATATTGGATTATTTTTAAAATACGATATATTTTTATTTGTTGCTTTAGTTTCAGGACTGAAAACGATAGTGGAATTATTAGTAAGATCTCACGATTGTTTCACGGCTTCCTGTAACATGGAAGGAATAGCCTCGGTATTACGAAAATGTCAGAATCTCGCGAATATGTTACAAATCTTAAAACACTGGGCGTTACTAGTACGTTTCATTAATATATTTAATAATAAAGTAGTTTACTGCTGTTCCCAAAATTAATTTTTTCTTATTGTTAGGTGCGTCTTGTAACTGGTGTTGGTCGATTTACGGAAATGAATTATATATTCCAAATCTTGAAAGAAAACGATCAATTCGAGTCTTTATTGGGACAGGGCTTGGATAAGGTATTTTTGTAACTAACATATATTAAATAAACTTGGATTTTTAATCGAACAATATTCTTGTTTTACTTGAGCAGGTTCCGGGTCTAAAAATGGCACTGCTGGAATTTCTGAAACGCCAATGTCCAGAAGATAGGGAGCTTTTTACCCTAGTGGCGCTTCATTTCCGCTTGTATTACGAAATCGCACTCATGTGGGAAAATGAAGCGAAGGAAGTAATTGCAAAATTAATATCTGATATATTAAAAGAATGCGGAAAAGGCATAACTGGTATTCCGGTAGAAATAAAATTGACTCGAAATGATCATGTCCAAAAACAATTGCAACTGGCTGTAACTAACTTTACTCATGCCACTCAATATTATTTACAGGTAAAAAAATTAATTAAAAACGTATGTGCATTTTTCGAGTAGAAATTGCCGTAAAAAGATTATGTATTTTACTTTCAGGATAAGAAGCTGAATCTTGCTAGCCGGTGTTCACAGCAAGCCCAACTTGTCGCGCTTCAAATTTCACTACTGAACGCAGTACCGCAAAATCAACAAGCTGTATGTCTGCTGAATTTGAAAAGCGACGAGTTAGAGAGAATATTATCTCGCATCTTAAACTTCCCTCAAGCTCTTATTGTTATCCGCGCTTATAATTATCACGCGGATTGGGTTAATCTCATTTATCATCACTGTATTCTCAAAGGAGAGACAAGATATCTCAAAGAATTCATGACAGTTAACAATCTGACGCCTATGATTGTACAAGATTGCGCGCGTAGGTAAGTTTAATAAGTAATTTGTATGTGTATGTCATTTAAATTGTAAATTTAATTGATTGATATTTAAATGACAACTTTTTAAATTACTATCACTCTATGTATCTTTAGGTACAGATTGGAAAAGAGTATCAATCATTCCATGACAGATAACATGAGAATTCTAATATCTGAATTATCAGATGTTGAATGTAAATACATGCTGGCTAGTCAGCTTGGCTTTAAGGATATTGTGGAGGAAATACTCAATGATCCTATAGTAGGCTCTTATTTAAAAGACACAATTTGGAAAAAAGGATATACAGCTTCATGAGATGTAACTCGTCATTTGATAGGACTCGATATTATCATCTAATAAGGAATGCCGCAAATTTAAATAATGCTACAAATTGTTATAAACTATTCACTTATTGTCATCATAAACAAAAATTTATAATTTTGTCAACTTTTTATTATTTACATCGTAATAAGTATCAATAAACTATTTTTTATATCATATCATGGACGAAAATCAATTTTATTTTCGAAAATATTCAATGATATCTCATAAACTAATAATCCAAGATATGCGATTCTTATCTCGTTGGAAGCGCTGAAATCTTAGCTTTCCAACGAGACCAGGATCATCTTGCTACGATTTTTCTATGCGAAGATTTCGACGATTATATCGACTCGCGATCTCGATCTCGGGACAAAATCAATTTTATTTTTGTAATTAATTAATGAAATCTCGTAAACTAATGATCCAAGATAAGCGATTCTTATCTCGTTAGAAGCGCTGAAATCTTAGCTTTCCAACGAGACCAAGAACATCTCGCTACGATTTTTCTGTGCGAAGACATTGACGATTATATCGACTCGCGATCTTAATCCTGAGATAGAAGCAGCAGACGACGCGTATATGCGGCGTCTCGCGCGGCGATGTTTACTACGAACAGCTGTGACTCGTATGTTTTTATGCCAGTTTTTTGGGAACGTAGTACGCCCGCATACTACTCGCGTAAAATTCGCGCGGTCTTCTTTCATGAATGGTGCGCGCGCGCCCGATTTTTAAAACGCTATAACTCGGCGAAAAATCGACGTAGCGACACGAACCAAAAACCAATCTTCGTTTCACATCCCGCAGATGTATACGCAGTGCCGCAGCAAGGTTCCTCGGCGCCCGGGGCGAATATAATTTTGCCCCCCCCCCCCCATTCCATACTACACGTATAGGCAGTCAACCTTTCTGTCTGCGAGTGTACGTCTTTACCGGCGGCGCTGGCGCCCCCTTAAATTTGGCGCCCAGGGCCGGCGCCCCGTTCGCCCCACCCTTACTGCGGCACTGTGTCTACGCTGAATATGTATGCCCTTATCATGAAAATACAGCATACAGCAATGGAATGAAAAGTAAAATGCTAATATAAATTATATACATATACAATAACTGCTAAACATAAAAATTTGCTGACAAGCTACGTTGTGTCTTGCCAACAAACTTTGTAGTAGATTGTTCTCGATAAAATTGCTTGTTTGTATATTTTATTATAACTTTGCATTTTCTAGTTGTAAATGAAATGATGCCTCTCTTTCAGATTTGAATAAAATTTTTATCCAATAAAAATAGACCAACTTGTAGAGGCCCTCCACCACCCCCGCCGCGTTTAATCGACGGTCCTCTTTTCTTCACAATTTGATTTCTTACTTTTATTATTTTTTATACTTTACTTTGCGATGCATATAAAAGAAATAATGACATTATAAAATTAAAAATAAAATATCTGTAAATAACTACAATATTTCTCTCGACGTTATATTATATGAAATATTCGATTACGTACAATAACACAAAATTCTTTTTAAAGTTATTGTTACTTCGTTAATTTATGTTACCTAATCTTTTAAACCATCAAATTATGTCCCCCTGTCCCTGACTATCCGAATCCCTACCTACCCGTATTCCGATCTATAGACCTACCTACCCGTGTTTCAACATAATGAACCTACAAATTTTTAATTGACACCGACGCGATTTTCTAGGGGTTTGATTTCTAGGGGATGATGAATTAGACTTGGAATTTAACGCGCCCACGGAATTTAATAGGGGTTTCACTCTCGGACATATGCGAGAATGTATATGTATATAGAAACATAACCCACCCGAATTGACTTTTAGAGAGTAATATGTAACATTCTTTATAAATGTATAAACAAAAACCGTATTATGCGCAAACGAAAATCAATCGAATAAAAGATTATTTTAGTCCAACTTAAAATTTTATACTATAGAAACAGGTCAATCTATAGAGAGGCCCTCCGCCGCCCCCGCCAATTCCAATCGGCGGTCCTCTTTTTTTTACAATATATTATTTATCTCTCTTACAATTTACAAAAGATTCAGTATTTTTCGAATATTGTTATAACTTTTCATTTTTGTATAAGGTACATAAATTTGTTGTCTCGTTTTGAGACACAATTAAAATTCTATTAAACTAAAATTTACTTCGAATTGACTACAAGATTTGGGCAATTTTATTATTTTTTTGAAATTTAGTTTTCATTTTTAATCATTTACAACTTATAAAAGTTATGATGTGTGTGTGCGTGCGTGTGTATATTTTTATATCTTCCTAATTTGGAATATACACATGTCGAAAAATCAATAACTCTCGCGTTATCGACATTTCACGCACGTAGCACGGAACGCAACCAAAATTGTGCACTGCGTTACCCACTTGAAAATGGGAGTAGCACGAATACGCACCAAGTGGAAATTTTATCGGCGGTGCTTGGAAATGGGCGTAACGGGGTAGTTCCAAAAATGAAAGTGGGCGTAAGGAAACAGCCTAGCGAAACGCTAACAAGTAAACCGCCGACGTGGCTGCTCTCAGGTTTCCCTCTGTCCCTACCCTTTAACATTAGCAGATAATAATGCGTACGTTCCATCTACCATCTATATCTTTAGAAGGCAATTTATCTGTCATCGCTATTATATTTCTAACTAGGCTATATTATGGTAAAAGATAAAACCACGTTGGCGTCAACTGTGACTGTCTGTTCAACAAAAGATTCGAAACAATGATAACTTACTGCCTGCCTACGTGCTATCACGTATGATAGATGCACTGATCGCTCGTAGATACAATACACATGATTCATAATCTTAAATTAATAACGCATTACTGCTGATATAATTGAATATTTTTCCATGAAATATCGAGTATTAATTAGAACTACTAAAGTTTATAGAAAGCATTTTTTAAATTAAAATATAATAAAAATATATATAAGTCAATTCTAATCCTTCTTTTTATAAAAGCATGCTATTAGAGTGATTTATTATTGTAGATGACAAAACAAAACGTGGAAAAGATCGTCGAAAAATAATTTCGCGCAATTATTTTTGTCAACGTAGGAAATGACTTAATTTATCATTTTAAGATCTGCTATATGTTGCGCTGGTGAATTTACATTCTGGCGTACTCTAAACGTGGTACCGAGGTTTATTACTAACATTTAGCATTTTAATGAGCCGGCTTTCATAAAAGCAGAAACCACATGTTCATAAACAGAGAGGACGGCGCAAAATAAGAATTCTTTGCATTTTTCTAGAGCATGCGTATACAATTTTTTTCTATTTTCTTTCTATCTGTAGCTGTGATATACGGAAATTCAGTGCAGCTACGCTCTCTTATTTTGTCGTACATTACCTTTTCAGAAATCAAAGGGTACAATGCCTAAAGAATTCGAGATTCCCTTTTGGAGATAGAGGACACGCAGTCAAAGAAATTTCTTCTTTGATGTTCACTACAATTCACTGCTATTGCTCCTATTTGCGCACGAAAAAGCCTCATAAGTGAATACGTGTTCGAACAAAAGCAGAAAAATATTTCCGCCCGACAATTTCGCCATACCTAATATGTTAGAGCAGTAAGATTCTCAATATTCAGCAAAAAATGTTATTAATTACAATAAAAAAATTAAATGTTATAAACTTTCTTAAATATTAAATACAATTTAATGAATCTATGATATTTAAAACCTCTCGCGCATGTGTGTCAGACAAATTCTTGAAATAACTGTATCAAATGCGATCATGCCCTGGCATCTTTTCTTTCAGAAAAAAGGAGTCTCGTAATCTTGTTAAACCAGAACTTCACTCTCATATCATAAAGATAAATCCTTACGTATATTGCGCTTGTATCTTATTAGAGATTCAACGCACGGACGCGATCTATGACGCGCATAAAGGGACGCGGATATTCAACGCGGGAAAATTTACGTGTAACGTCGGCATCTTGCCCTGTACACATCTCCCGGGGTAAAAGCAGCTCACCGCGCGTATAATTTCGGTATATTTATGGGATTAATGCTTCCCGTGCGCTCCTCCGTGTGCGCGATACCCGTAGAGATGGATTTTCGATAGATCGATTAGACCAGCTGGCATAGGCACGCGCTGCTAAGCCGCTTACGTCGTCCCCAAAAACTTTTGCGCTTTTTTGGAAATTCGCGCGCGTCCCGTAATCCGACAGGCGCTGGCATTAACGGTAATTTCGAGGGAATGGAGTGATAATTGATTTCGAAGGGGATCAACCAAAAGACGGGGCCATCGTGCGCATACGCGCGCATGTTAAATGCACGCAACTCTATGTCGCGTGTCCCTGCCATACGGAATTCCTCGCGCGAGATTACGCCTCTCGCCTGAATCCTTTTGCATTGTCCTCACTGCAGTGCGGAAAAGTAGGATAATATCAGATCCGATAATCGGCTATCCGCTTATTTTCGCGATTTTTAATGCATTATAATAAATTACTGCATTAAAAGAGGCACACACAGTAATTTATTTGAGCGCAACCGAGTATTAGCTATCGGATTTTACTCTCGCTTTGTTGTGCCTCTTCTCTCGTAAAAATAGATGGTTTATTCCGCGTATATCGGTTTTTCCTCTACGCGTTATAAAAAAATAAAATGTCAAAAATTCTATTAAGGTATACAATCTGAAAATAAAAGCTAATCGCTCAATATCATCGTTCTAGAGTCTCATACATTTAACTCTATTTAAGGGTAGACACGATGCGAATGTAAGATACTTACGCCTTACAATGACGTAAGACCATCCATTTATCGACGCGTTAATTGAATATTAAAATCTGATATGAAGTTAATAGCACGCAATTACGAAAGTACTTTCAGTTACGGCATAATTAATGAAGCTCTTTTATAATAACAATTATGCCGATGCGTTTTATTCAGGCAAAACAGTCTGGATAGTTTCAGCAACAGGCTATTCTTCCGTACCTGCTATTGACGGGAAGAAAAAGCGGCCGCTGGCATCTTATTGTTAGATACTGGGGTTTATTTAGCGCGCCACGAACGCGAGTAACCAACCGATATATCGATCTCACCATGCAAACCATTGAATACCGATGGTCCAGGTTTGCGATAAAGGTGCGCACGAGTTTGCAGTTGACGGCTTAACAATGAGATTTACTACAATTAATT